GACATCAAAAAAGGCTGTTTTACAACTGCCCTCACCTCTTATACATTGGAACCAGGTGTGGAGATCTTCCATCTTTCCAGGATCCTCTTATGATATTTGGAGAAATATGAGATACACAAGAAACTACAAGGGCGCAGAGTAATTCCCAATGGCCTGGAAATTCTTTGTTCACCACTAACTGATGACGTTCCGTTGGACACACATCATACATCGTATGCAGCCACCAATAGACAGCTGAGCTGACACACCTTTTAAACAGTGCATGCGATTTAAATTGAAGAATTCCATCATAGAATTGATATTTTATACCTGAAGATATCTACTGAAAAGTAGATGAAAACGTTCATGATACAATTTAATTGCTCAAGTTTGGGGTAATATTGTAAGTAGTTTTCTGTTTTGATATAAATGCAGTATTGTGTTGTCGTCATTCTTTTGTCAATTCATTTAAAGCATAGAAACACAATAATACGACACACAAAATAGAAAAAAGAATACTTTCCTACCTCCCATAGGATATATAAGGAGTTGGTAAGAAACAAACATCAGCTTTATGTTTAAACGAAATCTCAGTTTTCAAAATATTATGCAACAATAAGTAACCCTTGGACCTTTCCAATACAACAGGAATTTATTTTGTACTTATACATGACCATCAATGCAGCACAGAACTAAAATGCATCAGGCTGAGGGATCTCACCAGTAGAATGGGAGCATGCACTGTCTCATCTTCAACTCTTTAAGCTCTGAAAATTTCTTCTTTCTGTGTACTTAGAAACTAAATAAAAATTGTTTTTACCCCGTAGGTTATAACAGGAACTTGTACAGAAAAACCAGTCATACAGCTTTACCTTCAGCTGATTTTGTCTTGAACAGATAAGCCAATTTTGGCTGATTTCATGTTTAAAGAGTTAAATCTCATCATTGACAGTGCTAGTGTCAACTTTATGTATACAGTAAGACCTCGCTTAATGCAGGGGATGCGTTCGTAGACAACAAAGCACTAAACGAAACAGCATTTAACGAGGTCATTTTAACATAGAGTAAATAGGGATAGGGGAACACGTAAACAAAAATAAACAAAGTTTACTTAAGTTATTTTTATATTAATCTGTATAATAATATATGTTAAATAACACATAAACATATGCACACAAAAATATAAAGTTTATTTTTTGTGATGAAGATCCTGACTTTATTGCAAAAAAAAACAAGAATTTCAGAAAAGTTGTGAAGTTTCATTTGTTGCTTTTTTCTTTCCTTAAGCAAATGTCTGTAGCAGAAGATTGCATCCAATATGCCTCATTTTGCTATTGCACTCCTTTCAAAATCTGGATCATTTGCTACAATTTGATCAACAATTCTGGTTATCGTTACCAAACTTTTACTAAGGAAATCTGTAGAGAAATTTTTTTGGTTCTTTGTTTTCAGAATATCTATTTTCCATTTCTACATGAATTCCTTGATCTGCCAGTTCTTGAAGGTCATCGTTAGTAAGACTCTCACCAGAAACCTGCGGTAACTCCTCAATATCCTGCTGGTCTACATCTCCCAGTCTTGCTGTTTGGATTAGGTTGACTTTGGTCAACCTAACAATACAATATTAGGCTTTTATTGTTGAGAATTCTTGGATACCTTCAGCCGTAACTTCTTCCATACTTCGTTCATGCATTCATCAGTTAATTCTTTCCAAGTAAAACCGATATTGCCCGTGGCATCCATAATGTTATATTTGTTCCAAAACTGTACCAAACAAACATAGATTTAAAGAAAGTACACCTTTTTCTGATTGGTTCATGTTCATAAATATTCGTATTATATACGAATAAATAAAATGCTGTGACAATTTAAATCAGCGTAAATTTTGAGTTTTTTTTTTTAGGCTTCAAGCAGACCACATTATATCGAAGCAGCGATAAGCGGGATCTTACTGTACAGTACTTAACTTCTGGTAGTGTGTAAAAAATAATGGAAACTGAGCATGAAGTTTTGATCGGCTTATAAAAACCTGGATTTAAAGAATTCAACAGTTGCTGAATTAAGAAATTAAAATAATTAAGGACAAGACAAAAATAACAAAGGCAGAAATTTTAGAAAGCTACACAAGCTTAAAATAATAAATATTAACACATTTATTTCTTCAAAAACTGATTGTATGTAGTGAAAACCCACAAATATACCTAAAATATAATAATTTTATTCCCTCTACTAATTTTGGTTATATTAGTGTGTGTTTTTATTTTTTCCAACAATTATTAAACTGATGCTTTTACAGTTTTTTGCTTTTGATCTTGCCCTTGTTCTATACCTGAATGCAGCTATGTGTAGCATAATTAATAAATAACATATAATTATCAAAAGAAAGCATTATTAAGAAATACTATAAAAATACTATTAAAAAAATGCATGATATTAAGATTGATGTATTATAAGGCTACAAAGAGTAGTTAATGACAAAAAAAAGTACAAAATACAGTGGGTACCTCGTACATCATGACAAACATGATAATGATAAACTAAAATAACCAAACTCTTAATATGATTTTCATTTTAATGTTTGTTGTTACTTTTTGCTTGGGCAATGCCAAACATATCTGCTAATAATAAAATAAAACTAATTCACAAAAATAACATTAAAAAATGAAAGATGATAAAAATTAAAAGTAAATATAGATGAATGTAAAGGAAAATAATTTAAAATTAGCAACAATAACATATTAAGATTAATAATACGAGTTTTGTAAACATTCCAAAAATAGATTCTAGTGTTCTGATAACTGCAGAGAAGCTTTTTACGGGGTATTTTTAATAATAATTGGATAGCTTCCCAAATAAATATAAGCTTAGGATTAGAACATGTGACCAGTAATTTGAATCTTGGCCAATGAGGATAAAACTATCCAGTAATAACCAATTTGACAAGCTTTGTATCAAGCATTTCAATTTATAGAATGTGTTCCAGTGATCTGGTTTTAAGTTTTTAATAATAACTCAATAGAAGAAAACAGTAAATTTTAGTGAGTATGTAAATATAAACAATAACTAAGCCCAATTTGCTAATAGCTAAATATACTAGATTTTTGGGCTGTAGTTAAGCTAGTAATGAATTATTTAATAAATGAGAGGAATTTATTAAATTACCAATTTTTTTAGAAATGTGATCCGAATTGTTTACTAAAATTAACTATTGTTGGCTTTGTAGGCAACTTTAATCAAATTTGTTATGTAACAAAAAAATGTTTAATGAAGTAAATCCTATAAGAATAAATTAAAAAATTTAAAATGATGGAGTCAGAATATTCTAATCTTACTTAATTGTACTGTAATTGAGTACACAAAAATTCGAATTTTCCTTCTTTTCTGACTTATGGAGGTGTAAAACTTCCTAACTCTAAATCATTTGCTAAATGAAATAGAATTAGAATAGAAAGTTAAAAAAGCAAACCAGTTTTACTTTGAGAGAGACTATTCTTTATTACAACTTATTTATCCCCAAATGCATTTTGCCAGTACACTGGCCTCTTCAGTAGGGCTCCAAGCTGTGCAATACAATTCAATTTGCCAATCAATGGATAGTTGTAGTGATTTTCTGTAGTTTTCTTTTCCCAGATTTAATCATGAGGTCACAGAATGACAGACCGACACTTTTACCATCTCACTATTTAGACATCAATATAATTAAATGTGTCAATAAATGAAAAATAACCCAAATTATATAGAACAATACTTCTCCTTTAATAAAGAAAAAATTAAATATAATTTATGCAATATACCAGAACTAAACATAATATGTAGTATGCTTAATTTATAGTAAATGCTAAAGTTGAAGAAGTTTTTCTGTTTAATTTTAAAATTGAGGAATAAAATAATACTGCCTGAATTTATTTCTAGTGTAATTTTTATGGAAAGATAAGAATTCTTATTGTTTTGAGAAAATAAACTTTTCATAAAATCTGTCTAAAGATCATATTTCCTGTAATTCTTCAGAATTGGTCAAACTCAGAACAAACTTACTTTTAGATAGAATAACTTTTATATTCAACTGGAAAAGGTAAACATTATCTTAATCATCTTTGTCTTCTGTTTTTTCTTGAAGTAAATATTGCTTTATCTTAAAATTTATTAAGACAGAAAGCAAGAATATTATCCAATTGTCTTGAAATAATAATCTCACAAATCTTGAAAAACACCAAGATTTTTTTTAAATATGCACAGGTAGTCTTCAACACTCAGAAACTTACTCTTTTGTACATGATCCTTTGATACCCCTAAATCACTTGTAGGCTTACACAAATTTACACTTTTGTACAATATGGTTTTATTTTACACAGGATTAAATGTCAGTAGTACCAAGTACAGAAATTCTGCATAAATGTGTGCTTTACTCCAAAAAGTTCCAGATGATTACATGTTTAGATGCTTCAAGCAACCACTTATAATTAACAGAAAAATGTTTCTGAATATGCAAAGAAAAATTTTATTATAATTTATTGAGTACATCATTTGAGAAAAATACATGCAAACGAGGATATCTATCAAAATGAGTAACCTTTAGTAGTTCTATATTTGGAATTTCAGAAGCTGGAGCATAGTTTGATGACTTAAAAGTCAGTAGCACTAAGAGGGGTTGTTTGTCAGTATGGTTGTATTTTGGAGGAATATAACAATGACCCATATATTTTTTTCTAATTCTCTGAACAAAGTTTTATAATAAAATAAAGACACTGAGTTCGTCATTACGTGCAAAGTTTTGTACAGTGTTTAAAATATTGTCAATTTTTTCCTTAAATTTTGTTGTCTACATTAGGCACAGTTCTAATTTTTAATTTCAAATAAAAGCAAAAATAATTATTGCACTGATAAGAAAAATGTAAAAATAACAACAAAAAAATCCAAGAATTTCATTGAATTATCATTAATAAATTCTAATACTACTTTCTATTCTACATATGTTATTTAACAAAACTTAAAATATAATTATATTTATTTATATTTAACAGATTTGATGGTACAGAAATGAAAACTTAAATAAAAATAATTGTTTCAATGAGGTGTTGTAATATTTGTATTTTTATGGTTGGAGAGAGATCTCATGGCAGATGATTCAAAACAGCATGAACCTGTTCAGTTGGAACCTTTCATCCATCAGGTAATTTGCTTTTAAATAAATCATTGAGAATTGTTAAGTAATTGAATAAATAAACATTAATGTTTAAATTAATTTATAATGATATTTAAATTGATTGTTTTAAATATTTGTTAACATTATGTAAGATAGTAATTATCTTTAATAGGTGGGAGGTTGTTCATCAATGCTACAGCTTGATGATTCAACCATTTGTAAACCACTTGTCCCTCAAGAACTCAACTTTTATGGTACACTTCCTGATATTTTGAAGCCTTTTACACCAGAATATCGAGGTCAGTACTTTAATATCATTATTTTCTGCCTATAATCTGCAGATTATGTTAAAAAGTAAAAAGTCTTTCAAACTTGGGGTTCTGTTAAGAGCTTCTGCATAACATCTGTGATAAGTTTTCCAAATCATCAAGAAATGGATCTAAAATCATTTTAATTCTTAAGTCTTCTTGACGCGATAAAACATGATGGGGTATTTTTTTGTTTGTGTTGTGTTCATGTCTATTGGCCCTCCAATAAATATATCCAAATTCATCTTTTGTTTTAAATATTTTGAGCTTAGCACAAAATGTTCTAGCATAGATAAGCAATAAAAGTTAATAGTGTGACCAGAGGGTCGGCACCAGATCGGCGATACCTATGTCAGGATCAGTGATGACAATTCGTTCATGTGCAAGCAGTCGTGTGTATGAGTGTCGGATTTGGGAGTTGAATGTCTTGAGAGACAATATGGCCAAAAGAAGTGTACACTACTATTTAATTAAAAAATACCCATTTTTAATCTTCTGAAACTGTGTTTTCTTAATTTTTTTGATTCACTAACAAGGTGTGTTACCATTTCAACTTTCTTCGTATATGTAAAATCTTGTTTCTGAGTGACATGTATATTACTTAATGTGATGACTTACTATGAAAGTTGTTCTTGATAACTTTTCTGGATGACTTCCTTTTGGTACCGCCAAGTGTTGAAATGGTAACGCACCTTGTGTTAGTGAATCAAATAAAAAATACCCGTTTATTTTTGTATAATATTAAATTATTTACATGTATACATAGGATAACTTAAATAGGATAAAGCTATATAGCATAACATAATTGAGTATTGAAGTTTACAAGTTCTTAACCAAGAGAGAGAGATAGCTTACATTATTATATGCGATGCTAAATACCTTGATTGGTAGGTTGATTGATGCCATAGATTGTCTTGATGAAGGGGTGAAGAGGTTCCTGCTGGATTGGGTAATGCTCCTAGATGGGGCAGTTTATAGTCGAATGTCTGGTAGGTAAACACAGCTATGGTCCAGCGAAGGCGGCAGTTGAAGGGATTGTCAGTGGAGATGACTGGAATACACTTACACAAGGATAGAAATAGGCAAACTCTCCCATCGATTTCAATGTTCATCATTTTATTTTCGTAGGTCCTCTCCCTTAATTTCGATGTCCTTTTTTGGTAATGTTAAGTTTTTTGACCAATAGGTGAATTTTGGATGAAAGTTCCCAGTGACACATACATTCGGAAGATGTGTCACCTTGGAAAAGGAAGTAGATCCAGAGAAAGATGTGATCACATCCTTCCAGTTTTTTTGTGTTGGGAAAATTTTTTTATAGAATATGTGAAATTTAAGTGTTATTCTTAACAAATTCGATATATTTTGTTGCAGTTAAATAAAATTTCCATCTCATCCGATCTCTGACATCAGCATCTGACCTTAACAAAGCGTCAGAATGACTTTGGCAAGATTTATGTTCTTCATTGTTGATATGGCAAAATTTGAAGTCTGTTCTTGTGATAGATCTGGAATGTTTTTATAGAAGTGAATTAACTACATTTAAAGCCAACAAAAAATTGCACTCAGAGTTTTGCACTTTTTGTGAAAAATTGATATTTTTATTATTATTAATTCACTTTAACTTTACGATAAAAAATTTGAGATTAGAATGATAATTCTGGGCTAAGCAATTCTGCAGAAGTTGGTTTCATTTTCAATTTTTGAACATTAATAGTACCAAGCTAAGTTTGAGTAAACACAAGTAAACTCGAGAGTTATTGTTATATAGGGTGTATATATTTATTGCTCATTATTATATTATATTTAACATTTGTCAAATCATGCTGTTAGTGAGTGTAACTGATTGGACTCAAAGGTGATTTTTTTTTTATTATACTAATTTCAGCCATAACTTAATCAGCCGCAATTTATGACTTCCTATTTTGTAATTTCAGAATTTAAGCTTTCATTGTACCATTTTAAAATTAATTAATTTGTTTCCAAGATTTGAGAATGCTTCTTTATAATTTGCAAGGGCATCCAATAATTTAATCATTTCATTAGTGATGCACAAAGAAAGCAATTAAACAATCATGTAAACTTGCACAGATAATATGATGATAAACTTCTTTTTTGTCAATGAAAAATTCCTACATATCATAGGCAGGAAATTGTAGCAATTTAAAGTAAATTTCTGTATGAGAAAGTAACAATTCATAATTTTTAAAAATTTATGTAAAAATGTGTGCTTTTGCCACAGCACAGCCAGACATTATCATCTTGAAAGTACTATTCTATAACATAATGTAATATAACAGTATTAATATCTAGAAAGAAATAATTTAATTTAGATTACTTTGAGTTTATAAAAAATAAATTTTATTTATTTAATTGCTTTCAATGAAATATCTAATACTAACTATCCAATATCTGCCATAATCACAATTATTATTTATGTACTGTACACTCCTGCAAATTAATATTAAGGTCACTCATAAGAATCATGGCCTTCTTAACTGGCCCCAGTGGCATAGCTATAGTTTGAACTGCCTGGGGCAGTCTGTCAATTGTTGCCCTTCCTTTGGGAAATACATAATACACTTCAAACCTATTTAGATAACATTTTTCAATGATGATCATATAATTTTTGTAATTGTTAACTCAGGATAGTTGATAATTTTACATTAAAGAAGTGTTTAAAATTTTTTTAATGCCAAAAATGCCATCCGGGGTGGATCGTCTCTTCTACCCATCTCTAACTATGCTACTGACTGGCTCTTAAAATGTTCTCTTAGAAATCACTCAAAAGGCCATTCAGGTACAAGATTTCTTCATTGCTGGTCTATGTTGCTGCTGGTTTACAGTAAATGGCATACAGAATTCAATCTTTCTCCCACTATTAAATATAGAATTATCTGATTTAAGCATATTAAAATGGATTCTACACAGTAACTACACTGATGTAATCAAATTTGATGATTTTGCAGTGTTCCCTCTAAGTCTTCACTATGTTACACTCTAAATCACAAGCCAGAGTTGGCCCGAGAGGGAGTGTGAACAGTGCGAGCACACAAGACTCTGCACCACTGACTGATTTTGCAAAATCAAAATGGTTTCATTTTTGTTTAACCCAAATATACATTTAAATACTATCACACAATTAGTGCACATTTCATGTCAGTCAATCCAAGGCAAGGTTGGATGCCTTGAGCCAATCACTTATGCTTGCACATAGTGCCGACTAGTGAGAAAAGTAAAAACATTGTGCTTACATTGTGACAGCTGATCATACATCGTACGTTTTTATCGTGAGATATGAAAATAAATAAAATATTCGTATTTAAAAGGCAAATAAGTGTTTAATGTAATATATTATTGAACTTTACTGAATAATATAACTAGAAATATGTGTGTTATCGAGACAAAGGAAAACATGACTTTCATTGTTGTTATAATTGTGAGGCCAGAGTAATACTCAAGTTCACATGTTACAAATTTAATAAACATGTCAAATCAGAGGATTGAGCTTTGATTCTAATGCTTGTAAAAATTGGAAAAAAAAACAAAATGCAAATAATATCAGGAAAAAATAAAGTTTAGTCAAGAGGAAAAAAGTTTTTAAATAAGCTTAAAAGATCTAGTGCAGAGATTGTGTGTCAGACTTACAAGAATTCGAAACAATAGCTAAATACAAGCAGGAGTTTCAAAGTGCAATTAATTTCTCTTGATCAAATAAAATGTGGTGTCGAATCTGACCCTTCATAGCCTGAAATTGTNCAGAGGATTGAGCTTTGATTCTAATGCTTGTAAAAATTGGAAAAAAAAACAAAATGCAAATAATATCAGGAAAAAATAAAGTTTAGTCAAGAGGAAAAAAGTTTTTAAATAAGCTTAAAAGATCTAGTGCAGAGATTGTGTGTCAGACTTACAAGAAATCGAAACAATAGCTAAATACAAGCAGGAGTTTCAAAGTGCAATTAATTTCTCTTGATCAAATAAAATGTGGTGTCGAATCTGACCCTTCATAGCCTGAAATTGTCTGTTATCTATCTGGATACAAGAAATCAACCAATTGGAAAGCTAGAGAACTGAGGAAAGAATCCTATAAAAGCCTGGATCTCAAGGACAAAGATGGACTTTCCTCTGTCTCACATTGTGAGTTATCAGACTAGTCTTTCAGTGCTATACATAAGGACTCTTCACTCCCAACTTCACCATTCTGCCTTGGACTGTTTTGTTTTTTCGACACTTCATCACCTCATCACCGGACTTCCTGACACTCATAGAAACATCTCGACTGACCAACCCGGAGCCATCAACTCTATAGAACAACTCCAATGCACTACAGAATGTAAGATTTAGCATTAATAAACGAGTTTATTTGTAACTGCAGCTGTATGCCTTACTTCCATTCATCCCACATCCGATAAATCCTGACATTTGTTTATCACCAATGCGGTGACCTTACATAATCATACTACTAAAAAAGTGTATTGTTTTCCTTATTTACTTATGTATTATGTTACCTATACTACCTATAGTGTTTGTATGTTTTTTGTAAAATGAGTAATAGAGACAGAGATGCAGGAAGAAAGTATATGTGTGGCTGATAAATTGAAGAAAAAAAAGAAAGGGAGAAGAAATTGCAGAAAAACAGAAGAACACTCTTGCAAAATTTCTTAAAACCAAAAATGTGCAACTGAAGAAATGCATAACTCACAGTTAATGGAAGATCAAACTCACAGAAATGAAACTCACCATAAGACATCCACAAAAACAATCATGATTATTTAACATTCTTGAAACCATGTCGGTATTCTTTCCTTTGTTCAAACACGATGTAGTGCAATCACTCGACCTGATCAAAAGATCCTGATTATCAAAAAGCCAACTCTCGTCTTAATGAAAAAGAAAGCAATGAAAAAAATAACTGAAGAACGGGAAGATAATCACGAAGCCAAGGGAAACATATAGACAGAGGATTTTTTGTCAGCATTGAACAAAGAACAAGATGAATTATTCAGAGGACCACAGCTTTATGAGAGTTGACAAAGTGAAGAAAACTAAAATGTCAATGTCAATGATCCTGATACTTGGACTGAAATTATAACTGATAAATTTAGAATGGCAATCATACAAAATGGCATGACACAAGTAAAACACTATGATTTTCTGAAAGATAAAAATAACAAGTTTTTCTGAAAATTATTATTTAAGAAAATTAATGAATGGGGAACATCAAGAATGAAGATGGTTACTCTACTAAAGTACAAAGATGCCACATTGTTTTATGCATGTAAATTATTCTCTTCAAATACTACTACTCTGTGTATAACTGGACTTAACGATTGGGTACATTTAAGTTTGCGATTATAGTCATGAAATATCAGAATATCATTTACCAGCTATGTACAAATTGTTACAACTTGAAAAGAATTTGAAACTGGGAAACACTATTGACAAAGAACAATGAAAAACAGCATTTAAAATGTGCTTGTGAAAAAATAGTGATTGCAATTTTATATTTATCAGAACATAATTTTGCAGTTGGGAGAATTAGTGACACTTTATATAAACCACACAATGGTAATTTCTTCAGTCTCATAGAATTACTTGCAAGATTTGAACCAATCATGAAACAACATTTGGATTGTTGCGTAGAATCAGCATCATGTTCCTATTTATCTCATATTGATAGAACACAAGATGAATTGATTTCTACTTTGACCAAAAAAGTTAGAAAGTAAATAATAAACCTAGTTAAGAAAGCTAAGTATTTCACAATTTTATTAGATTGCACTCCAGATGTAAGCTATCAAGAACAAGTATCTGTTAAGATATGTTAATGTAGATGACTCTGAAAGTGATGTGAGTATACAAGAATGATTTATTTGTTTTGAAACAATAAGAGAATCGACAGGAAAAGGGTTATCAGCCAAAATTGAAAGCATATTAGAAAAGGAGGACTTAGATTTAGGCGACTGTTGAGGATGGGTATGATAATGGAACTAATATGAGAGGTATATATAAAGGCATGCAAGCACTTATCCTGCTAAAGAATTTCAAAGCACAGTATAAACCTTGCAGAAGTCATAATTTAAATTGTTATTGGAGNCCAAGTGCACATTGGTGATGACCGAATTCATTATTGTATGAAATCTTAAAATTGCTATTAATAATTTTTGCTTGTTGTATCTTAGAACATGGGTCTGTATTTGACCTAAACTTGTTCTGTTGTGTTGGTTTTAAAAAAAATATATATATATTGATTAGATCCTGCTAAAGAATTTCAAAGCACAGTATAAACCTTGCAGAAGTCATAATTTAAATTGTTATTGGAGACATTTCAAAGTCATCTTTTTTTTGCAAATTCATTTTTTGGGATTTTACAAATGATATACAGTAATACCCCGAACTTACGCGATAGGTGGGACCGAGCGATAACTGCATAAGTCGAATTCGCGTAAGTCAGGGTATAATTTCTCAATGTGTGTAAAATCCAAGTCAGATGTATGTAAGCTAATAAATGTTGTTGTTAATCTTATCTCGTCTTTTGATTCGTTCATTGTTACAAGAAATCACCACATAGTCTCTCGAGTCTCCCTAGATATAACAAACACAGAAATAAATAACACAAAATCAATTGTAGATATGTATCGATTCCGCGTGACACATCCGAACATGTAAGTTGAACAATAGTGTGGAGGGAATGAATAATCAAGAGTTGCCTGGTGCTCAAACAAAAGACGAATCCATGAGATTTGAAAATCGCGTAAGTCGAGGTATCACTGTATAATATTTTTGCGAGTTCTGTGATATGGTGGGATATATTAAAAGAACATGTCAAAGATCTTACTTCAAAACCACTGTCAGAAACGAGGTGAGAATGTCATCTTGAAAGTATGAAATCTTTGAGATACCAAGTACCACAATTTTCTCTACCTTTGAAATACCTTTACAAACATACCAGTGACATGAAAACAAAACTCAAAATCCAATCAATTAAAAATAAACTTACTTCATTTGAATTTTTATTAAGTTTGGTCATTTGGTATCACATACTGAATGAAGTAAATATTTTGAGCAAGATNATATAAAGGCATGCAAGCACTTATCCTGCTAAAGAATTTCAAAGCACAGTATAAACCTTGCAGAAGTCATAATTTAAATTGTTATTGGAGGCATTTCAAAGTCATCTTTTTTTGCAAATTCATTTTTTGGGATTTTACAAATGATATACAGTAATACCCCAAACTTACACGATAGGTGGGACCGAGCGATAACCGCGTAAGTCGAATTCGCGTAAGTCGGGGTATAATTTCTCAATGTGTGTAAAATCCAAGTCAGATGTATGTAAGCTAATAAATGTTCTTGTTAATCTTATCTCATCTTTTGATTCGTTCATTGTTACAAGAAATCACCACATAGTCTCTTGAGTCTCCGTAGATATAACAAACACAGAAATAAATAACACAAAATAAATTGTAGCTATGTGTCGATTCTGCGCGACACGTCTAAACATGTAAGCTGAACAATAGTGTGGAGGGAATGAGTAATCAAGAGTTTCCTGGTGCTCAAACAAAAGACGAATCGATGAGATTTGAAAATTGCGTAACTCCAGGTTTGCGTAAGTCGGGGTAGCATAAGTCGAGGTATCACTGTATAATATTTTTGTGAGTTCTGTGATATGATGGGATATATTAAAAGAGCATGTCAAACATCTTACTTCAAAACCACTGTCAGAAACAAGGTGAGAATGTCACCTCGAAAGTATGAAATCTGTGAGATACCAAGTACCACAATTTTCTCTACCTTTGAAATACCTTTACAAACATACCAGTGACATGAAAACAAAATTCAAAAATCAATCAAATCAAAAATAAACTTACTTCATTTGAATTTTCATTAAGTTTGGTCATTTGGTATCACATACTGAATGAAGTAAATATTTTGAGCAAGATATTTCAAAATTCTGATATAGATATTTGTACTGCAAATTCACATTTAAAAGGCCTTTTAAAATTTTTTGAAAAGTATCATGAATCAGAATTTATATCTTCTTTAATACCTGCAAATGAAATAGTTTAAGAATTGAAAGTGACACCTAAATTTAAGAATCTAAGAACTAGATGAAAAACATAACAATTTTGTTATGAAGGAACTGATCAGCCGATTTCTTCTGGCAAAGAATATTTCCAAATTCAATATTTTCTAGTCATAATAGATAGTGTGATTATTTCTTTTAAGAAAAGAATTGAAATTTATTATGAACATGAAACATCATATGGTTTTTTACATACAGTAATTCAGATAATATTCAAAAACTGACTAAAGATGATCTTAAATGTTGCAAAAACTTAAATGCAATGTTGCAAGCCGATATTGATGGCATTGATTTATTTAATGAAATCAAAATTTGTTGTCAAGTTTTGTCTTCTGGGATCACAATATTACAATATTTATTTTAAAATAATTTATTTGAATTGTATCCAAATTTTGTTACTGTTCTGAAAATTATATTAACCTTACCAATTACAGTTGCATCTGCAGAAAGGTCTTTCTCAAGATTGAAAATAATAAATTACTTGAGATCTAGCATTAGTCAAGAACAATTTATCTCCTTAGTCATTTTATGTATTGAATCTGAATTAGCTGAAAAACTAAATTATTTTGATATTATCAACAAATTTGCTATAAAATATGTAAGAAAATGAAACAAAAATCACATATTGAAAGTGACACATTATTCTAGTAAGGCGCATACTTAAATTGTATTTTATAAGTTTATGAAGCAATTATTCTTGTTATTTAATTTATTAACAATTTTTTGTAATGTTAAATAATTAAATTCTTTCTTTTAATAAAATTATCATTTTCATGTATTCCTTACTATACCATTTTGTGCCATGTAATAAATAGCAAAATGCAATAAATTATCATCTTGTACAAAATTTGTTTCAGGGCTCTGCAAGTTAACATTGTACCAGGCCCCACTTTTGTTTGGGCTGGCCCTGTAACAGGCCACATGTTTCCTTGTCTCTCTTATGGGTAGCCTCATTAGCATGTATTGAATTATGTACAGAAAGATTTGACTATAAAATTTAACATTAAATACATGTTTTATAAAATGAATATAAAGTTTTAGAAGTTATTTACTTAAAATATAAACTACTAATGATAATAACAATTAACTATTATTTCATAAAGGAGTTATAGAGGTCAACTTTATCGAGGACCAAGATGGTTATCTGACATTAACTGCCTATCCACCAGAAAGCTGTAGCCTCCACTGCCACAAACGTTTTGATAATATTGGACGAAAGAGAAAAGGAGATCGAAAAGCTAAACGAAGGTAAAATTTAAAAGCGCACTTTTAAAATTTCAACTTACTATTTAAATTATTGTATGCTATTACAAACATGGGATGAATTCAGTTGTAATGTTCATCCCTAACTTAATCTTATTCATTAAATAATTACAGAATTCGTTTGCGTCAGTCAGGAGATATTGAAATAGAAAGTTCACCAGAAGAAGATGACGAAAGACAAGTGTTTGAAGAAGGGGATCAAGCTAAAGTACGTCGTGGTAGCCCTCATAATCCTTGGGTATTACGATGCCATCAAGAACAATTGGCTAAATTACGTGCTGTTCCATCCTCATCTACTGTTCACATTCAAAGTACTTTTTTCCCCATCAATTAGAGTATTGAATTTAAAAGGATTATTTTTTAACTCTAATTATACTACTTACTCTTTTTAGAATTTATTTTATTGGAAAATTTAACATGCAAATATCAATATCCATGTGTTCTTGACTTGAAAATGGGCACCAGACAACATGGTGATGATGCTAGTTTTACCAAGAAACAGAGTCAGCAAGCCAAAGTGGCTGCTACTACCTCAGGAGTGTTAGGTGTCCGAATCTGTGGAATGCAGGTAAATTCATTCTATTTGTCTATTGTTTATTATTGCAAAATAACATTTTAATATATTTCAAATAAAATTATTAATTCAGGTATATCAACTCACTTCTGGTCATTTCATATGTCACAATAAATATTATGGTAGGAGATTAACAGTGGATGGTTTCAGGCAGGCATTGCATCTGTTCTTACACAATGGATGTAGGCCTAGAGATGATGTCCTTCTTCCACTAATAGATCGTCTTCATCAGCTGTACACTGTGGTACAACACCTCAATACGTACCGTTTCTACAGCAGTTCACTCCTTATTATATATGATGGAAAAATAGAATCAGACAAAGTTGACACATGCTTTTTACAGAGCAAAACTGCCAAATCAGGTGTCGCTACTCCATCAAATTACCACATGCTTCCTGTGCATAACGAATGTAGTGGTCATCAGCCATTATCTTCTGATAACGTTCAGGAAAGTAAATCCAATATGCATGCCGATCAGTCTGAAGTTCCGTCTGCATCCGTAGACGTTCGGATGATAGATTTTGCCCATTCTACTCACCTGAATTTACCTGGAGATCAAAAACTACATACTGGTCCCGATGATGGTTATCTTTTTGGTCTAGAAAATCTGATAGCCCAGTTAAAAACTATTAAACAAGAATATGGTTTATAAATTGTAAACCACAAAGTTAAATATGGAGAAGATGTCAGACTTTTAAATATTTCAATTTCATCTACTACTTTTAACAAAGTAATATAGTTTGAAAATATGCAACCACAGTAAGGATTCTATACTTCCATCAGAAGTAGACTTTTTAATAGTTTTCGAGTCTAATTTTAGACACTTGGATTTATCATACATAAAATTATTATTAAAAGAAAAATATTGAAAATAGGGACCATGAGGAATATATTTCAAGTGTTTTCAAATATTCACAAGTCTTGCATTCTATATCCCTATGGTAATTACCAAGTGCACATTGGTGATGACCGAATTCATTATTGTATGAAATCTTAAAATTGCTATTAATAATTTTTGCTTGTTGTATCTTAGAACATGGGTCTGTATTTGACCTAAACTTGTTCTGTTGTGTTGGTTTTAAAAAAAATATATATATATTGATTAGATGAGATTTATTATACTAAATAACTGGTGTTTTCTAACCTACAGTATTATTCACTGGTATTTTAAAGAAACAGATCATCGCATTGCATTTTCTTTATTTATTACTAAGTGTTAAGTTAACACAAGAAATTGTGATCTCATCTAGTCATTGTTATTTGTGTAATATTTAAAATGGTTTATTTATAGTCAATCAAGTTAATGTAAGAATTTAGAATGTGTCTACTCACGCATTATTATGGCAGATGCAGTCACCATGCTAAACAAATGTGATGTATTATTTATTGTTATCTGTGAACATTTCACAGTTTAAAGATAGAAATGATTGAATGTGTAAATTTAAAAGGCAGAAGCAGTTTGTATCAAACTGGTCGTGGTAAAATATTCGATTTAAAAATTGTACGAGATCTGAAAGTGCCTGGAATGCATCTAACTTACTTAGTACTAGTTTATTGTAATCTATAACTTTAGCTAGGCCCACTCTACTACTTATATTCTGTATGTCTAAATTGTACTGTTTAATTCTGAAAGATCTCAACATTCGTAGATGACAATTAGTTCAAAAAAAACTTTGCACATTCAGAAAATTCACATAGAAATATTTGATGACAATAAAACAACCAAACTCTTTTTTAATATTTTTAAACAATCTCTAATAAAAATATTCTTCAATTGTAATATTTAAATATAAAAAAAACCTGTAGACATTGTCACTTCCATGATATTTTGAGATAACATTTTCTTAAGACTTGTGCATTTACAAAACAAACTTTTTAAAAAGTGTTCTTGTTTAATTATAGAAAATTGTATTTTAAAACATTACCAATGTAAGTGAAATTTTCAAAATATTTGAAAAAACAATGTGTCAAAAATATGGGTAAATCAACCTTTCTCTCTCTCTCTCTCTCTCTTTTTTTTTCCTTCGCATATATACATTATTGTTGTGTTCAAGTTAAAAAATACCAAATTTGAAAATTTGTTGCATAGACAAATATGAAATTCCATTATCGATGTGCAAGATGTTTGGTAGCATTTATGGGAACAGTTTAACTTGTATATATTTAAATTATAGTAAATGATTTCAAATTTGTCAAGCTTAGTGCTAATGTAGATTAGAATAAAAATAAATTGGCCATTTCAACATTTTGTTAATCTCATTATTTTATTCTATTCTATGAATTAAATAAATACTGTACATAAGTACATACAAAAGAAAGATGTTGTGGGACGGAACGTGCAATGATCAACATAATAGTTGAACTATTTGTGGACGGAGTAATCGAGGCTGGAATTATTGGCAGTAATAATTTCTAGCTCTTTTTATATAAAGCTAATATCTTTTTTGGACAAAATCTCATTTTTAATTTTGTCAGTGATTCTTAAGTTTCTAGGTACATCTGGTACATTCCATTCTAAATTAGCTTCTTCTTTTCAAAGCAGCAACATAAATCCAAACAGCAAACACACTGCAAGGATACGGATGAACATATACAGCTACTGCAAATTCCATGTTCTTTTCTTCTAGACGGTGGACTCCAGATGCATAAACAGCATCAACTACAGCTTTCTCGTCTGTGTAAGGCATCGATAAGGGAAAACCCCACATCTAATGAAAGAAAAACAATTTTTTTCAAGTTTTACATACATTATAAAAATTTTAAAAACTTGCCTTATATGATGTTAGAATCTGTTCAAGTTCTCTTAAGGATTCTAAACTAGCTGTTCTTCCAAAATTCTTTTCTAATCTAAATTTAATGTTCAGAAAAAAAAATTACTATGTTATTCATGTAAATTATGAAGCATTTAAAAAACCATTAGTTACCGAGGTAAAATATTGCGCAATGCTTGCATGCAATGTCTATTCCAAGAAGTGCGAAATCGTCGTCTCCATTTCATGATGCTATCTTTTAACATAATTTCTAACTCTTCTTGTAACTTTTGTGCAAACTGCAGATCAACAGGAGAATAACTTAAATTGGAAGACTATTAAAAAAAATAGAAAATAAAGTTAAGTTTGTCATTCTTGTTCAGTTATTGAAACATGTTTAAATTACCTGAATAGTGTTTAAGCCGGGATTAGGAAAATTACGACGGAAAAAAGGCCGCCAGTCTTTGGTCAAATTAAGATCGAAAGTCATCTGAGAAGGAATATCAGTTTTCTGGATGTTAGCCCAAATCTGAATAGAAGAAAGAAATATCAGTCACATAGTTTTATATTTTGAAAAAACAAAAAAAATAATTATTATGATGAACTGTACTACTATTATTATGTTGGGTTTAGTAGGTAATACTCGGTTCAAACCGGTGGTTGTGTACTATGCCGGACCAGAGTCAAGGCATAGCAACCAAAACAAAACTAAAATTAAATGTGTGTGTCAGTGTCAGTGTCAGTATTAAGGAATTTCCTAACAATATGGCATGTATTCAATATAGNGTTGGGAATATATATGTTTGCAAAGTTTCAACTATAGTAGAACCCCTCTAATCCGTCACCTTTGGGACTGGAGGTATGGTCGGATTATCAGAAAAAAGTAAAATAAACAATCTTCCCCTTTGTCCAGTCTTTGTAGCACCGCTAATTTTTCATTTAATGAAAGAGTAATGTGTTTACGTTTCACTCCCAACATGTTGAATACATGCACAAAACTGTACACGTACACACAATGTAAAACATATACTGTAACGAACACAGAAAAATGCCATGGACGGTGAGTCACCGACGAGTCAGGACAAGTTTCTAGACTCCGACCACGGACAGATTAACCGGAGCGACGGACTAGCCAAGGGCAGACTAGAGGGGTTCTACTGTAGATCAAAAATTGAATGAAAATTGAGTTACTTTATCTGGACAGATGAAGTAAGTTAATAAAAAGCATATAATAAAAATACATACATTATCTGAACTTATAAGACAATAAACATGTCTAAGAGGGCTGTACGAATCTTGAATACTGAAACGTTGACCCAGTGAAGCATTCCAAATCCCGCTGGACACAAATTTCCCGGGAAATGAGAAACCCTAATCAATATGCTGCACTTTTAATCAATAATTATGATAATTATGAAATTATTATATATTTAATATTTGATAAAATTTCTCATTAGGAGAATGTGCCAACAACTACAGATTTTCTCCAAAAAACAATTGTCATTATAAAAAACATTTGCATGTGTCTATTTCTAATTCAACATAATCCTGCATTATGTACATTAAAGGTGCTTTACTTAGGACTTGATTCACTTCCCTTTTTATAACAATTTCTAATTCACAAAAATGTCCAAATTAGAGAAAGATATGTGTTTCTTATCCTTAGTTGCATCTAAATACATAAGTAATTGAGTTAACAAATTTTGTAAATAACTGAACCCACATCATTTACAAATTATCAATAACATATTCATGAAACATATAAAGCAAGAAAAGTTCCAATTTAGTTTTATTTAAAATTCTATGTATGTGCTTGTTCTAATGTTCTAACAATTTTTATTAAATTTATATATATAAATTTTCTGCAATAAATAAGGTTATGTAAAGGAAGAGGGAAAGCAATTTTATTATAAATATGATTATATTTTACATTTTACTTTAATTGCCACAATAAATAGTAATGAGTTACAATGATCATATCTGTGACTGCAAAAGGCTAAAAATAGAGATTTACTTTTAAGGAAATCATTGTGTGATCAGTAATTTTTTTTTTAAGTAATAAATTGATTTGACAGTATCACTTAGTATTTAGTCACTTTTGAGATTCCCTTGTTCTAAACAAGGGAATCTCAAAAGTAGGTTGTGCTTGGGGCCTTCAAAGATCCACCACTGTTGACCTTTTTTCGATGTCTTATATAAGGTTCTGGGTATCATTTAACTTGTAGTGAATGAGTATAGCAAATGCTGTAATAGGGGGAAGATGAAGTCTGTAAACTGCAAATAACAAGCACAATTCATGCTCATAGATCCAGCAGATTAAAAAGTTAATCATGTCTAGAACTGATTATGGGTACTAACATAAGTGTAAAAACTCATTCAGATAAACTTCAAGATCCATAGTAGTAATATTGTATGTGCAATATACTCAAACAAAACAAAATAGCTCTCTCTATTGAGATCTTCACCTTATTCCAATTCTCTCTGACTGATATTTACTATTATTTTCTCAGATTGACTTGTCTAATCTGGATCAAGATGATCCTTCTTTATCCATCATTCTCACCAATCTTGTTTGTAAAGATCAGGCTGATCTAAATAGAAATATGTAGAGTAGGCTTTTGTCATTTTATTTTAATGTTAAGTTAAAGTTGTCATTTATATAATTGTTGCTTGTTTATTAAAGAACTTATTATGGAAACCTTGTGGTGCTTTTGTGAAACAAGGTACTCTGATCACCAAAAGGGGAAATAATGAATTTCCATAATGAAAAAATTCATTATCAAAATTATACTTATTTATATGGTATTTTGATTTTTAAAGAAAATTTCTTTTAATTTTAAGGTATATTTTCACTTCTGTGTTTGTTGTTTTAATGTTTGGAAGGTTGTTCTAACAAGATTCCAAACATCGACCATTTACATGTAAAATTTACATGAAAAATGTATTATCATCTAAATATATAAAATTACTTGTCCTGACTGACTGAGTGATTGACTGATTCAGTGGTTTGCTCTAGGCAATGGTGAACCTAAAGAGGTGAAATTTTGTACACAGGGTATGTCATGAAAATGCACACTAAGAAAGGATTTTTCGAAATTCCCCATGGGGAGAAAGATTAAGGCTTAACCTGAATAACGGCTTCTACTGTACTATTTTAAATGCAATTTCTTGTTTTTGACTATGTTCAGTCTTCATTGATTACTTTGGTGTATTAAATTGATAACATTTCATTGTTATAAATATTTTTATATATTTAAATTTTTTAACCAAATGTTCAAACCGTTTTAAATTCAAATTTGTTATCACATATTGGTTCAATTATAGACTGATTGTAAATGTTCCAGAAAATTGATCAAATTGAAAATAGTTCATTTGATTCTCAGCAATTCTCATTGTTCTCAATGGTAGGTGTTATATAACAATTACTATGGTTGTTGAAATACTGAATATAAATGGGGTTTGCTTGCAAAACCCCCCGTGGGCGAAGTCGCGGGTAACAGCTAGTTGGGAATATATATGTTTGCAAAGTTTCAACTATAGTAGAACCCCTCTAATCCGTCACCTTTGGGACTGGAGGTATGGTCGGATTATCAGAAAAAAGTAAAATAAACAATCTTCCCCTTTGTCCAGTCTTTGTAGCACCGCTAATTTTTCATTTAATGAAAGAGTAATGTGTTTACGTTTCACTCCCAACATGTTGAATACATGCACAAAACTGTACACGTACACACAATGTAAAACATATACTGTAACGAACACAGAAAAATGCCATGGACGGTGAGTCACCGACGAGTCAGGACAAGTTTCTAGACTCCGACCACGGACAGATTAACCGGAGCGACGGACTAGCCAAGGGCAGACTAGAGGGGTTCTACTGTAGATCAAAAATTGAATGAAAATTGAGTTACTTTATCTGGACAGATGAAGTAAGTTAATAAAAAGCATATAATAAAAATACATACATTATCTGAACTTATAAGACAATAAACATGTCTAAGAGGGCTGTACGAATCTTGAATACTGAAACGTTGACCCAGTGAAGCATTCCAGACCCAAATGTTATCTTTATCATCCCATGTAATGACATAAGATGTCAAGCCTTCGGGAATTGCAGATCCCAACAGCAGCATGGCTCTAATCTTTGTGTGTAAAAAATAATTGCACAATAAAACAGCATGCTCTTCTTCATCTCCCATCAGCATTTGAAGGAATTGCTATAGATGAGAATAAAACTTAATGACAATAATAATTTAATTTTATAATCATAACTTTAAAAATGTTCAACCTACATCACATGTTGACCAAATATCACAGATACCAGGGAAAACTACACTGTCTGACCGAGTTGGAATAACAGAGACAAATCTTGCAAGTGTTTCCTGAAAATATTTTTAACATAATTAAGAAACATTTAGTGAAGCTTTCTTTTATAACATTCAAATAACACTATTTTGATGATATTTTCTCAATTTTTTAAGAAATTGGTTCAGAAAAAACTTATTTGAATGTCACCAAAATAATTATGTAAGATAAACCCAAATGAAAAGTCAAAAAGCTCTGTAAATGATATACAGATTTTAAGTTTATTAAAATCTTAATATTTATTGAGATACACTTCAATATTATATAAAACCATTGATGTCTAGTAAAGAACTATTATTGTACAAGTGGGAGTCAATAGGCAAATGCACTTTAACCTAAGAAGTCCATTGTGCACCCCACAAGTTTACTTCAGAAATGTGCTCTCTCTAAAAATAACAGGACAGCAGAAATGTTCTGAAAAAAAAAGCTGAGGACTTCACCAAGGTTCAACAAAGTGGAACACAAATGAAACATAAGTACACAATTGATTTTTCAAGTAATTTCTTTAATTAAATCAAAACTAATTTATATTCTGACATTCCAAGTCTACTGAGCAGAGATCTGCACACTCATAAATGAGATGCATATAAATCTCCTCAGCAGATCCACAAAACCAGCAAGAGGTTGAAGAGGAAAGTTTCAGTTAGCACAGATATTTATGAAAGCGACCAAAGTCAGTCACAATACTGACCAACTGGGGAACATGAATCCTGTCAAAATCTTTAGTTTGCCCAGAGCAGACTAGACAAAGTTCTTTAAATCAGGGCTGCAGAGTTGGAGTCAGGAGGAATTTCTGGCCAGAGGAGTTGAAGTCGGGAAAAATGTGTAGACTACGGCATTTTAAATCTAATTTAGTTTTTTTATTTAAATGAAAGAAAACATTTTAAAAAATTAATAAATATAAAATATGTTTTTGTATTTTTTTATAATTATTTATTTTAAATACAAAATGCAACAATTTAATTTATTAAATATGTATAAATAGTTTTCTGTTTAGTAGTTAAATTATTTTGACCCAATTGAATTTGAATATTTTTGATTCATTCCTTTATTATCCCTGCTCTAAATAAGTACTCTACTTTTTTGAATGAGCCAGACTAATTGATCAGAGTATATATATTTTTTTCTGAACAAGGGGCTGAAGTAGCTAGATTGCACACCTTTTAGTTGGACTAACTTTTCTGGAAAGGTGAAATTGAAGTGCAAAAGCTGTAGAATAAAGATATATAGATGTAGAATTTTATTGCTCCCCTTTTTCCTCTTATTAAATATTTGTTAAAAATTAATTTTTTTTATACAAATAAATATTAATGTACGTTAAATATTAAAAATACTTGGATAAATACCCAGAGCTTCTTTCAGAGTTCAAAGTAGGGTAACCTCCTATGAGTGCCTCTGACCCCATAAAATGACTTTGTATTTAATTTTGCCAGAATCGGCCTACTAAAATTATCAGGAGTCGAGTGTTGTTTTACCGACTCTGCGGCCCTGCTTTAAACCAGAAATTAACGTCCACTGCTCAGAATGAAAGGATCTATCCAATCTTTAATAGCTTTAAAGATAAGTGTTATAAAAAATATCAAGACTGGTTCAGGCTCTACAAAGGAATATGAAACACCTTGTTTAGCCAGTATATCAACACTTGCATTGCTATCATCCTTATGACCTGGCACCCACAAAAGATTCTATTAAGGATAGACAGTTCACTGAGGCACAGGCAACACTCCCAAAGAAGTGCTGAAATAACCCAATCAACAGGAGTCAATATGCCTTTAAGACAGCCTGACTGGCAAAAACAATATAGATAGTCTTATTAAGACATCAAATAATAACTAGCAACTCTACTTGAAAAACAGTGGGAAACCTACCCAGTGGGATGAAAAACCCCCTCCCTGACTGCTTCCTATAAATGCCAGCATCTGTGTCACTATCAATTTTTGATCCATCTTTAAACTAGACTATATCCCATAAACAAAAGGTTATCCTACCCATATGTCAGTCAAGGCAAGTGGGACACACAATACCTGTCAAACATAAACATTCTGTCAGAATCCACAAAAAACATGTCTTCCTATAATAAGTTTCAAAACACCTTTCTCTCTTTTTTCAAGCAATTTCTTTAATTAAATCAAAAGAACTTATTTATATTCTAACTGATATTCCAATTATGATTAACCTGAAGAAGGCCATTTAAAATAGTTGAAAATGATAGTTATTTTAATTTAATTAAAGATATTGTTAGAAAAAGAGAGAAAGGTGTTTTGAAACTTATTTATTATAGAAAAGTTCTAGTTTACTGTGCATAGAATTGTAAACACGTTTTCCTTCATCATGCCCCTCAATAAACTAATTATGATAATACTTGATCTGGAAATAAGTTGACCAGTACACCTGAACCTATAAAGGACTTTCCTCACTTCAGCTTGAATGAACAGGTACAAAGAAGGAAGACTCAAGAGAACATGGCCCAGCTACAGCAAGGTATGCAGTATTCTGCAAACTTTGCAGCTTAGACTGACAGCCCTTGCAAAGCACCTAGACCACCAAATTAAGGCAGAATAGGCTATTTTGGCTCAAACGATCAAATCACCATAGTAAAAATCCAAAAAAGAACACATGGTTGTAGATCAAAAGTTTCGCTAAGAGTATTGTAATGAACTGCCTGTTGCGTTAGAAATTCTGATGTCCATCACTTTTTGAACATGTGGAAATCACGTGATGAGAAATCAAGAATATTCCATTATCTTATAATATAACCAATGTGTCTTTCTAATTCATTAACATAGTATTTGTGAAAGTTATTTTCTTGTATAATAACTCTCTATGCTTACAGATTTGAAACTTTCAAATCTGATATTTGATTTAATATAAACAATATTTTTTGTATTGTTGAAAAATGATTGTTGAAGTGATCCACACTGATTTTTTTTACCTAAGTTTGGATCATTTTAAACTTAACAAAAATCAGTAAGCATTTAAGCAATGCTCTTTCTAATGAAATGATGTTAATCTTCTACTTTAGATATGTTTCACAGTTGAAAGCTAATGTATTTATTGAATGTAATAAATAATTATAAAACATTTTTAACCATTATTTCCATTTTGTCTTGCAAACTGTCAATCATTTGTTCCGGAGGCTTGAGTGGACATAAATATCGTGGAATTAAAATCCATTTCCCACTAATATCTATGGCCATGGTACGTATCGACCTATCAGGAAAAAGTAGGCGAAATTCGGAATCCCAGACGTCTACTTCTTGTAAAATCCTTTCTGGTTCTAAGCTTTCATACTGTTAAATATTTAAATATCTGTATGTATTTATTTATATCAAATATACTATGTTTGCTGAATTTTTACCTTCTGTCTGAATACTTCTGGCAACTGCAAGCATGGCTCTATTGTAAGAAATAACGACAAATATGTATGTCTTCCTTCCAATTCATTGGACATGCCTCCCATTAACCAGGGTCTGGCTTCATAATCGTAGCCTAATAATACAGGAGGAACATTTAATCTAAAGGTTCCTTCAATCTAAAAATAAATTAACAGATATTATTTACATTATAGATCAAATGAAATCCAGAAATTCAAATTTTGAGCATTAACTTTAGAATTCAAATAAAGAGTAGTAAAAGGTATCTTTAGGTCTCCCAGCCAATGTCGTTCCATTTTTGTGTGGACTGTGGAATCACGATCTCTGTCGTCTTCTAAAACATCTACCACAACTTCATCAAATAAGCTTAAATATATAATATCTTGTACTGTCTCTAAATTTGTAGGCGAGTAATCATCACTAGGAGCTCTAAAGAAAAAAATTCATAAATATGATGATGATGACAAATATAATCTATTTACCAAATGAATTTGTTTTTTTAAATTAATTTACTCTATTACTACACCTAATAATTAAAACAATATAAAGCATGTTACAAAAGAGAATGAACATATGTTGATAAAAGGGTTGTATGATGGATATTTGTGAAGAGTAAAGAGAGCTCAAGAAAGAGATGGACAGAGATGAAAAGAAATTGGAGGTAGTGAGTGATAGGACAAAATAAAGGAGATTTATTAAATGTAAGTCCCATACATTTTCATGTAAAATATAAGTGGAAGAACTTACATTGTTGTAATGGTGAATAAGTTTAATATGTGAAAATACAGTATATAAGTAAAAATAGCAAGACTGAACAAAAAGGAAAATAAAAATACAACAGCTTTCTGATGAAACTAAATTATCTATATATTTTAAAAGAACAATTTGAAGTAAAATTTTTCTGCAGTTTTTTTTTTTATCTATATTCACTAGAAAAACATTTGAAACCATCAAAATTGTTCAGTTAAATTTAAAATGTAACATTCAAAAATATATAAATAGAAGTTATTTTGCATTTAATATTCCTTACTGAATGGAAAAAGTACAACATTCATCATTAAGCTGTATAAAATACTTCAAATTATAACAATTTGTATTTATTTATACTACTATGTGCATAAGCATTTATTAAAAGAAGGTAAAAATCAATCAAAAAAGTTGTAAGGTTACACAATTATTTAAGAAAATAAGATGTGATGTACACAGTTGAATAAATATAGAATCCCAGATATAATAATAGTAACAGACTACTTAAACTTGTTTTACTTCTTCAGAACATTAACTGGGATCATGTCGGAAATCTTACAACCTTTTTATTGATTTTTACGTTAATTTAATAAATGTATTTTCATGTATGAGTATATTTTTCAAGTGCACAATATCAGTTTTTTTTTCCCAAAACCAAAGAATTTCAAAATAAAGTTAAATCTCCAATTTTAAAACTATAATATTTGAATTTGTGCAATATTTTTCTAATTAAGATTTTACGTAGCAAACCTAATCTCTTATTCTGATACTGGCTGAATATGGTGGGTTTTAAAATTTCCAATTTCAATATTTATCAAACAAATAGAGACAAATTAACCAACTTTTAATATAAGCTTTGTATCCATAACCATTTGAAACAAAAACAAAAAAAGTTTTATGAGGGAAAGTCAACTTTCACATGAGCTTGCACAATTCTATGTATTATAGATAATCTTAAAAATACTTATTAATTTAAATTGAAAGTTATAAAGTGTATAGTCTTGGAACACAAAGAATAAATGGTGATCCCTTTTGGGCAGTTTTGTCTTCAATTTTTATAAAATTAATACATTCATTCAAATGTTTGCAATAGGATATTACAAACATTTATTAATTAACCTAATAATATTTATAAAAATAAAGCATACTTAAAAGGTAAATGCAATTCTTGATTCCAAGTTGGATGAGGTCCTTCATTCACATGAGTTCTGGCAGTCTCTCTCTGAAACATCACTTCAACATAAGGACGAACAGATGCATTTAATCTATCAGTAATCGATTCTTCTGAAAATATTTTTATGAATTATGTAAGAATATTATTATTTTATATTCACTTATGTATAAACCAGTGTTTTTCAACCTTCTTGAATATGTGATCCCTTTACAAGTTAAAAAATTCTGGTGACCCCCCCACGGCCATATTAAAACTATGTCAGTGATTTTAAAAACTGCTGTACATATTTCACTTTCTTTCTGTTGAGATTTAAATATCGATCAAAAAAACTAATTGTACTGTAAAATAAACAGGTACAGCCTTCTCACTGAAATTGTAGTTTTTTTTATTGTAGTGTAGGACCTACAAACACTTGTCTTTTTCTTTCACCCGCGACCCCCGTGTATGGCTTTGCGACCCACAGGCTGAAAAACACTGGTATAAACAAAATAAATAAATATCTAATCACTGTTTATTTTTTATTTAATATTATTCAATTACTATTAATTTGCAACTAGTAATTGAATAATTATATAAGATTAATTTATAAAGATACAATGGAGCACCAAAAATACCAAGGCCAAGTTTTTCTCTCAAGACAAAAAAATGTATAATCGAAATATGTCAAGATGGCAAAATTAATACTTTTTATGATAAAACATTTATTAAAAGCTGTAATATTACAAATTTAATTTTTATCTTTATGTTCATCTTGCATAAATAAAAGTATCGATATTCAACACTGTCTAGAATGATATGTAACAGTCTAAATGTAACTAAATTTTGTACACTGACATTTCAGGATGTGCAGAAGAGATATTTTATTTGAGAGAAATTTAATTCCAACACACAACTATTGAACTTGGGATGCTTCAAACAGCAAAAACAAACACACATGCTATTCTGGATATAAAATTGCCAATGACATGTGGAATGCCATTCATATTATGACAAGATCGGCCATGATGGTTATGATCTATCTTGTGAAATTATTTTTGTCAATTTTTTCCCATCAATTGTGGTGCCCTTGTGGACTTTTTTGATACTCAGTATCAAATATCCTACAGTGGTGACTTCAGAAACTAAATTTTTCTCTCACAGAACTCTCTTCCGTGTGTCCTGAAATGTCAACACACAATTTGGTTGCATTTGGACTGCTACATATCTCTCCAGACAGCACTGAATAAAATCACTTTAGAATAAAAATACAGAGTGATTATAATTATACTTTTTTGAAATTGCATTATTCAATAAATGAGTAGACATAATTCATGTACCTAATTAACAGCAATAAATTCAAAAATAATTTTTTCCTATTCAAAACATAAATGCCACTGATAGTGAGTAGTATAATGTCTTCTGCAGTGTATTTTTTTATTTTTAAAACGTTTGTTAAGTCTTTAAGATATCTAAATTATAAATGTTTAAAATAACTGCTTATGCTAATTCTTAATTCTGGGAGTAAAATGTTCATTTTATTTAGTAATATTTTTATTCTTCCTTGAGAACATCTTCAATTAATGAGCAGATTATTATTTTCTAGTTGGTGATAATTTTTTCATCTGAATGTTTCTATCTAGATTTGAAAATAAACAATGTAAATCTACATAGTATCTGTTTATAACTGATAAAATTATAAACACTATTTATAATCAGTTTCAGACTTAAAAATAAAAATGGAACATTATGTAATCAATTTTTTACTTACTTCCACTTAGAGAGTGCTTTATAGTTCCTCTTAATATATCATTATCAACTCTGACGGGAACATTTAGTGCATGCATCACAGTTACAATGATATTAATATCTGTGCTAGCAACAGTTTGACCTGTCATTTTCTTTCTTTCTTTTCGTGTAGGACAAAGAGGTCTTTGAGTTTGCATTAATGAAAACAAGCTAAAACCAAGCGTTCTGATAAAAATATAAATAAAAGCCTGAATAAATTATGTAATATAATTAAAATCATAAACAATTATTATTTTTACTGTATTGATGGAACTTCTTCTTCAATTACAACATCTTCCAAAACTCGTTGATGCTGAGCAGCATAAAATCTTTTCAAAACTTGCTCTCTTATCTGTAATTGTTTTGTTTAAAATTAATAAATTTATTTGAAAATTAAAATGAATAATAAAAAGGAGCAAAACAAACAATTCAAAATAATATAATAAAATAAATACTTTTTATACCTGTTTTAATAATTTTGAAGCTTTCTCTCGATGGCTTTCTGGAACACCTTTACTTCCTCTTCTTTCTGGTATTTGATGATGTTCCATTGTCTGAAAAATTTAAATAATTAAATTTTAACAATAAATTTCATTGATGGCTTTGTATAATTTTAAATTTTAAAAATTACTTGTAAAATATCTTTGGGAATTTCATTTTCATATGCAGGTATCATATGATAATTTCTGAATTCCGGTGCTTCACGAGAACGCAGTTGAAGAAGTTGAAATCTTGAATTGTTATTTAACTCTTCTTCAGTTACAAAATCAAATTCTGACTGAAGTGGTTCCAAACGAAAATAATCTATTGAATTTTGATTTGATTTGTTGAAATATAAATTGTAATACTGAAATATAGTAGTAAAAAAAAAATTATTGGAACAAATGAAAATAAGTTTAAATGTAAGATATTTTAATACATCAATAGAAAATTATCATCATCAATCAAAAAATGTAAAATTATATATGCTAATGTATATGTAATATAATTTTAAAGTTTTGTATAAAGTTTAATAGCTTTCAAAACTATTAATCCTCTGCCAAATGTTTGCCAAATGCCAAATGTCAAACTATTAAATAGTCAGACTTATTCTAAAGGGTACCAATCAAATACTAATAAACATTTTTGACACATCCTTTAAACATTTGTTTAGTAAAACAGTAGTTTTGAGAACCATATTAAAAACTAAAGTTAGAAAGATTAATTAATCTCTTTAATTTTAGTTCTTAATATGGTGCCAAGTTTTATCCAGTTTTGCTTGTAATACTTACATAAAATTGCAAAAAAAATTCAGGATAAAATCTTTAAATCAGTAAATTCAAATATATTTTTTAATATGAAAGTTTTAAATTTAATCCACACATCTGTATGTCATTCTCTATCATAAACTGGTTAAACTAAATCTGTATATGTCTTAAAACCTAAAGATTAATGTTTTTAAAGTTTCTTTGCTTCATCAGTATTTCTTTTATTAACTTCTTCAAAGTAAGTTCAATTAATTAATAAATTTACTAAAGATAGGGATTCTACAGAATAATGTAACATTAACCTTTTATGCATCTAAATTATCTTTTATTTGGTTTTCTTTGTATTAATATTCTTTTCTAATAAATTATATATAATAGTAAATGTTATCCATATAGTTCATTATGAAACTTTATATTCTGAAATTTAATATTCCATAAGAACTTTAGATCTTGAACATATATATACATTATAAATTATATCACTAAAATTATTTATTGAGTAAAGAAGCATCTGTTAAAAAGTTATGAATTAATCAATTAATTATAGAACACAAACCAATTTTTTTCATGTTTATAAGAACAAAATATAACACAGCTAAAATTTTGTTTAATTATAAACGTCCTTCTTAATTATCAGAATGTAAAAAGAAAGTTATAATTAAAATTTATTCTATACATAGCTGCAAACAAAGATAATGTAAATCTTTAAATTAAAAAACAGGCCTCCTTTAAATAATCAAAATTTTCATTTAATTAAGTACTTTTGAGAATTAAATCCTTTCATCAGTCATAATCAACATCTTATTTTTTAAAAAAATTTTTAAAAACCAGCTTATAATTTACAATATTTACAATACTGATGTTAAGCAATAAAATAATAAATATCTTAAGTAGAATTATAAGAAAATAGCATATTCTTGAAAAAATCCTTTAAAGAAACAAACTCTACACAAATTTTAGAAGTCCTAATGACCCAATTTTGTTAATAAAATCCAGCTGCACAACTTTCTTATAATGAAAAAAGAGAATATTTAATTAATATGTCTGCTCTTTACATGTTCATTTAATTTGCCTTAATTAAAAATAATGTCAACAATCTGAAGTCAATTTGGATTCCACCTGAATAAACAATTTCTATTAAAAATCAACAATCATAATCTAATGAACAAAAATTCTTTAATTAACAATCTCTGCTACAAAAACTGAGATTATTATAAAAATATTTTCAAAAATAACTTTTCAAATCCATTAGTAAATTTATTTAATGAACTGACATTTAAGCTTTCTGAAAGCCATCTTCAGATTATATTAAGAAAACTTATTCACTAATAGATACAGTATATGTCTTAAAGTTTAATAGAGATTGTTATAGAATTATGAGTTTCAAGTATTAGAATTTTGCAACTAAGAATACAAATATACACAACAATATATAAACATATCATTCATTAACTACTAATTAAAAATGCATAGTATGATAATTAAAGTGTTCTTACTTGCATTGCGTGAAATATACATGAATTAGCTGGATCATTTGGATCAAGATGACACTGTTCAACCCAGTTGCGTAATCCTTGTATACTTGCTAAGCCAGTAGAAATTATTTGCATTAATTTGTCAAATTCATGAAGAGATCTGTTAGTAAAATAAGATGTTTATAGTAAAATTCATTTAAACTTATGAGGAATACGACATCATTTCCTGTTTTCCACCACAATCACAAAGACTTGCGAGGTTGTTTGAAATACAAGTTACATTTCTTCTACTATTCCCATAGCAGATGTGAATAGTATATGAAATGAAATTGCATGACCATTCCAAAATACCTTCAAATCTTTGTGATTGATGGAAAACAGAGAATAGTGTTGTATTCCTTGCAAGTTCAAATAAAGATATTACAGATTATCATCATCCGTATTGAATTTTAATGTAAAATTATATCAAATATGCAAATTGGTTAAATTTTTATATTTAAACATACCTCAATTCAGCTGATGCTTCTTTAGTAATTTTGGGGCCTAAGGATTTTCCTTCTTTATTAATTCCCCATGCTAAACTACATTTTAGTATACCATTTGTTAATAGCCAAGTTGCTTGATCATCTTTTAAATAATGGATGGCAACACCTAAAATTATAATTATGTTTTTAGTGTCTGTTAACTATTTTTAGTAAATAATTCAAAAAAAGCATCAACATTTTGAAATTTTTATCATCATATAATAATATAGCAAGAAATAACAAGTAAAATATGGAAATAATAGTAAAGAAACTAAAAAATTTGAAATCATAACAGATTGACATCAAACAGTTGAACAGATAGCAGAGAAAGTTGGAATTTCATTTGGAAGTTGTCACGCAATCCTAACAAATAATCTGAACATGCACAGAGTATCTGACACATTGGTTCCCAAAATCTCATGAGGATCAGTATCAGTGACCTCATTAACACAGCTGACAAGGATCTGATGCTCCTGCAAAACATCATCACTGGAAATGAAACATAGTGTTTATGATCCTCAAACGAAATATCAATCATCCTGGTAGAAGTCTGCATCATCTCTGAAAAATTCCAATTGGACTGCTCAAAGGATGAAATAATGATGAAAATGTTGTTTTTTTTTTTTTTTTAATTTAAAAGTATAATTTATTACGAGTTTGTTCCACAAGGTGCTATGGTAAACAAGGAGCATTCACTATCTGCAAGTGTTGTAGCATTTCAGAAAAGCAATTTGTGTAAAGCATCCAGAACATTGACAGCTAAGGACTGGGTATTCCTTCTTGACAATATTCTGGTGTACTCTTTGTGTCTTGTTCAAAATTATCTGATTAAAATGGAATAACATTGCTTGACCTTTCATCTTGAAATTTTTATCTTTTCCAAAAGATGGAAGGCACTATTAAAGGGGTAACATTTCCATAATAAAGATGCTGTAAGAGCAGATATTGCAAAAGACAAAAATAAAAAAAAAAAAAGTTTAAACCAATATATTTAGCAATCCTGGAACTTTCTGCACATACTGTAGGTCTCAAGTATTATATGTTTGCTTTATCTAGGAGAGAGTGCAGTATTAAATCTACTTGAGATGAACACATTCAATGAACAAGTTTGATCACTGAAGATAAAAATGTTCAATGGAAGATTAAAAGTAGATGGTGTTCAGTGCTTACAAAGTTTCCTCTAGGATTTTTACTCCTGATGATGTGTAAAAGGCTTGAAAGTAATGTAGCAAACAGTCATAAGACCACCTAATAAAGCTGGAAATGGTAGATTTGTTGAGAATCAATAGATTAAGACATTATAGAGGTAGTTATTAAAATGATTGTTTCAGTTAAAATAAAATTGTGAATTTTTGTGAGAAGAAAAACAACAAATATAGAAATAATGCTTTTATTTCAAGAAAGTGAAAATGTTATTTCACAAATTAATAAACTAGAAATATTTTTATAATGGTATTTATTTTATTTTTAAAACACAAAATTGCTGCTGCTGTTTTTTTTTTTAATATGGTTATTGTAATCACAGAATAATAATTTTCTAGAATGTATTCAGGAAGGTTGTTTTAATACAGATTTAACTAAAATTACATGAAAAGATTTTATTTACAGTTACGCATATTAATTTTATAATAAAATTTTTAGTAAATGCAAATTAAAATTATGACATATAAAATATATTTTATGTGAAAAAATTACCACTTCCAATTCCTGCGTGACGATATGTAATCACTTCTTCTGAACAGAATTCTTGATCCAATAACTGGACATTATTTGTAGTAAGGGACGGATCGGGTAATGGAAGCCATATATCAGCTAAACGTGTGCTTAATACTCCATTTTTCTCAAAAATCTGTAAAAGTTATATACATCATATAAAAAGTTAAGTTATTTTGTAATATAAATTTATAAGTTAACTAAATATTCATAAAAAATTATTATATTACCTCAATTTTTACATTTTGAGGCTTATGCACAATACACAACTTAAATATTTGTCCCCAGGTTGCAGTAAATTCCTGCCCAAGAGATCTGATAAAACAAAACATATATATTGTATACAATAGACTCTTGATTATCTGAATGGAAAAAATGTTATTCCAGTTAATCTGGTACTATTTAAATCCTGTACCTAGTAAATGGAACAGGTAAATTTTCAAATAAATATGAATAGATAATGCATATAACTAATTCACATAATAATAAACATATAACTATTTCATTTGTAATAAACTGACACTTCAGCAAAGTTTATCATTCCTCTTTTCCTGGTTAGCTGCCTGCAAAACAGACAGCTATGATACTTTATGACTCATTTGTAGGCATTTTGGCATATGGATTAATGTGATCCTGAATAATTGAGAGTCTATTTGTATAAATGTAATGAGTTTAGAAATGAAGAATGTACTTTTCAATAAATTCATATTAATTTTGAATTTTGTATTTGTTCAAAGTTTTAAACATAACTTTATAAGAAAAGTAAATCAAAATTTATATAAAATAAGTTACATTTAATTAATTTCTTTTATTAAATTATATTTAAAACTTTAAATAAATAAGAATTATCAAATATGAATTTACTAAAAAGTACATTCCTAAGGTCATCAATTTAATAAATTATAAGGATTAAATTTTACAAAAGAATTTTAATTTTAATTTATTAGTTCATAATACAAATACAGTGGGTGATCAGTTAACGAACAAATCGGATAATAAACACTTTTGTGAAAGATTTTTATGTTCAGACAATGAACACCTCACAGAACACAAGAAGCAGCGACGTAAAATAATGAATACCGATTGGTCTTCCCTTGTCTTCAGGCAACAATTCGAAACTTTTTAGAGCATGGGAGACGTCAACATCAACGCTCAACCCTGTATATACTGATTGGATAGTATTCCTCCAAACTTTGAAACTCTCCCTTGTAATTCCAGCCTTTTATTTTTCTGACAGAAACAATTTTTTTTATAGTATTCACGAGTCTGTCGGGTGGGCACTTGTTAAGTTTTGTATTGGTTTTTATTTTTGAAAGGTGAGAGTGTAATAGCAAAGGTAGAGAGTAGGCAGATATCTGATGTTGCTAGGCAGTATGGCTTGAACAGGTCTACAGTAGGCCACAGTTCAATCTTATCTAAGAAAGATACTATATAATCAAGAAGAATCAAGCAGCTAAAGGAGTAACAAAAATCACATCTGAGAAATAAAGAACACTGAAGAGCTCATAATGAAACCAGTAACTGATCTGACAATAGAAGAATACCAAGAACTCTTGAATGAAAAACACCAAGAAACTTGGCGAGATATGTTTTCTTCTGAAAAAGAGGATTAATGCTGATATCTGCTATTAAACATCTTTTGAAGAAGTGGAATGATGCCAGAACAACGGTCTTAGAATGGCATCCAAACCAGGTTGAGGTTAATAGGCTTAGGGATCTCTACAATTACAATGCTATTAATTACTTCTGAAAAATCCTGAAGAAGAGAGAAAAGCAATCAACATTAGACAGATTCTTTAACCCCCACAAACGAAAAAAACATGACTAATAAAAATGCAAGACTGTGTATATATGTATTTTTATTATTACATATAAATAAACATAGTAAGAAAGTATATATTTTTTTATTTTTGGGGGTCTCCAGAATGAATTAATCAAATTTCCATAAAAACCTATGGTAAATCGATAATCGGTTAACGAACAATTTGGATAGCAAACAAAGTCTTGGAACGGATTATGTTCATCAACCGATCATCCACTGTATTAAAATTAAAATATCAATTTTTTTTCAGTTTTCAACTGTTATAAAATCATCAATTTTTAAAGCAGTATAACAAATAGATTTTTAGTATAAAATCAAGAGTATATCAACATTCAGAATATTTATTTGGATACTTTTTAAATCAGTATATTTTTTATATTTTTGTGCTTTTGACATTTTTATACCATATACAATGAAAGAAGGTAGCATAAAACACATTAAGATATTGACTAATAACTGCTGGAAATGTTGGTTAAAAATTAGAACAAAAAATATATCACAGTAATTTTTCTGTTTAAGAAAAGGATGCCATATTTTTTCTTGTCAAGAAGGACTTAAAATATAAAGATGATTATTTTCTCAAAATACTAAAAATGTAAAATCTTCCTTTATAAAAAATAATATAAAATAAAAACTATCTTTTCCAAAAATAATTTTGTAATATAAATTATGTAATTATTTTTTAAAAAATAATATGAAATAAGAAGAACTTCATTTAAAATAAATTCTGCATGAAAAGAATTTTAAATACTGTAACATTAAATGACACTGTCATTTTTTTCACACAAGTATCTATTTTGTGAAAGGAAAAACACTTTAAAATCCTAATAGATTATTATATCTTTACAAAAAAAATCTGCAAATATATTTAATTAAAAATCACGTTATAAAGTTTAGCTATTAAGAAAATTTTTAAAAATGTATTTAGTTATTTTCTATACCTTTCAGTAGTTTGACAAACTTGTTTATTATTATAAAATATCTTAAAATATATTTTTCTTTTTGAAACTTCATTTCTTCTTGCTTGTTCTAATCTGAAAGTGAATTAATATTTTAATGACTTATTTCGTTTCTATTTTTAAGAGCAAATCATTAATTAATTAACCAAATAAAATACTGCTTAAAATATCATTGTTTCCCATTCTTCACCCAAGCTTGCCAAATATTTAAAATTTTTTTAAAACTATACATTCTATTTTTAGAAAATCTTTAAACATATGAAATAATCAATACAGATATTAGTTAGTTAACTTATTAAATAATATTTTAAAATATTAGAGAACATAGAATTTATTCCAAGAGTGACATGTTCTTTTTATTGTAACTTTTGCAATATTAAAAAAGAAATATTATAGCATACTGAATAATACAACTCAAGATAAAAAAGAACATAACTTCCTGTAACAAAGAGGAGAAAAAATACTAACAAGTGTTAGTTACATGCCTACTCTTGCTGTATTATACAAAAATATTTTCAAAAATTTAAATGAATAAATGTTGTATATGTAATTCTTTAATATGTAGATACAAATATGTTTTAGAAATAAATAATCGATGTTAATATTTGTTACTTTTTGATATTAATAGTGAAAATTAATCATGCATGTTTATTTCTAAAAACCCTTTTTTTCATTGTTTAAAAACTTAAACAATGAAAATAGCTGACTCTATATTTTTATAATAAATTGCTTCTTACAAGATATACAATTACAAATAAATTCAGTATATTCAATAGTTGTAATAATGAAATAAATAATTTCATATGTCCATACTTATCTAAATAATACAGAATAAAATAAAATTGTATCTAGGAAATAAATACATTTGTTGTAAAAATATTATGAGTATGTTTAAATTATTCTAAATATTAATGCTATTATTTTCAATAATAATATTTATTTCTTTAGGAGAGGTTATATTTTTATAATTTGGTCTTAATAATATTAAAATATTTCAAAATAATGAAAAATTTAGTTTCAATAATACATATTTTATTCTAAACAAATATAATTTGAAAAAATAAATCATAAATATCTTAAGATGTTCACGTACTTTGAACAATTAGATGCTGATGTAACTATTCCACTATTAGTTATTTCTGGAAACAATTTAGGCTCACCTATACATTTAATAAAATATATATAAATTTTAATAAAATGTTGTAATTTATAAATTAGTTTCAATCAGAATTTTGAAAAAATAGACCTGGTTTTCTTCGTATTTCTAATGCATTTTGCGTAATTATTTCTAATGTCCTTTCTTCATCAAATTTACTCGGAGGTTGAGGTTTGGGCATATCTTCTAGAGAAATTATTTCTTCAGTTTTTGACGGTATTTCTGATTCTTCATTCTTGCTATCTGTAGCTAATTCTTCTTCTGTATTCTGTCTGCTTAACTTCTTTTTTAATTTCTTACTTTGAAGAGCTTGTTTCTATTATGAGTAAGAAATATAATAAAAATTAACTATCAAATATTAATATTTAGGTTCTTGTTTTAAGTTTTAATTCCAAAATAATGATAAGTGTAATAATCAAACTAAACTGATAATTTATTATTCACGAGAAGTTTTAGTGTAATAATGTAATAATCAAAAGCACTAATATTTTAAGGTTACCAAAACTATAACATTTTCAGTCTAACTTTATCATTATTCACCTTCTGTTTGTGTAGCTTCTTCCATTTTTCTAATTTTGTTTGATACTCTTTCAATTCTTGTTTGTAATTAATATTGAACATCAATTTCTCTTCTTCTAATTCTTCTTCAATTTCTTTATTCCACATTTTCTGATCATCATCTAAGTCAATATATTCTCTATGAAAATGGTATTTAATAATAANTAGAACACAAACCAATTTTTTTCATGTTTATAAGAACAAAATATAACACAGCTAAAATTTTGTTTAATTATAAACGTCCTTCTTAATTATCAGAATGTAAAAAGAAAGTTATAATTAAAATTTATTCTATACATAGCTGCAAACAAAGATAATGTAAATCTTTAAATTAAAAAACAGGCCTCCTTTAAATAATCAAAATTTTCATTTAATTAAGTACTTTTGAGAATTAAATCCTTTCATCAGTCATAATCAACATCTTATTTTTTAAAAAAATTTTTAAAAACCAGCTTATAATTTACAATATTTACAATACTGATGTTAAGCAATAAAATAATAAATATCTTAAGTAGAATTATAAGAAAATAGCATATTCTTGAAAAAATCCTTTAAAGAAACAAACTCTACACAAATTTTAGAAGTCCTAATGACCCAATTTTGTTAATAAAATCCAGCTGCACAACTTTCTTATAATGAAAAAAGAGAATATTTAATTAATATGTCTGCTCTTTACATGTTCATTTAATTTGCCTTAATTAAAAATAATGTCAACAATCTGAAGTCAATTTGGATTCCACCTGAATAAACAATTTCTATTAAAAATCAACAATCATAATCTAATGAACAAAAATTCTTTAATTAACAATCTCTGCTACAAAAACTGAGATTATTATAAAAATATTTTCAAAAATAACTTTTCAAATCCATTAGTAAATTTATTTAATGAACTGACATTTAAGCTTTCTGAAAGCCATCTTCAGATTATATTAAGAAAACTTATTCACTAATAGATACAGTATATGTCTTAAAGTTTAATAGAGATTGTTATAGAATTATGAGTTTCAAGTATTAGAATTTTGCAACTAAGAATACAAATATACACAACAATATATAAACATATCATTCATTAACTACTAATTAAAAATGCATAGTATGATAATTAAAGTGTTCTTACTTGCATTGCGTGAAATATACATGAATTAGCTGGATCATTTGGATCAAGATGACACTGTTCAACCCAGTTGCGTAATCCTTGTATACTTGCTAAGCCAGTAGAAATTATTTGCATTAATTTGTCAAATTCATGAAGAGATCTGTTAGTAAAATAAGACGTTTATAGTAAAATTCATTTAAACTTATGAGGAATACGACATCATTTCCTGTTTTCCACCACAATCACAAAGACTTGCGAGGTTGTTTGAAATACAAGTTACATTTCTTCTACTATTCCCATAGCAGATGTGAATAGTATATGAAATGAAATTGCATGACCATTCCAAAATACCTTCAAATCTTTGTGATTGATGGAAAACAGAGAATAGTGTTGTATTCCTTGCAAGTTCAAATAAAGATATTACAGATTATCATCATCCGTATTGAATTTTAATGTAAAATTATATCAAATATGCAAATTGGTTAAATTTTTATATTTAAACATACCTCAATTCAGCTGATGCTTCTTTAGTAATTTTGGGGCCTAAGGATTTTCCTTCTTTATTAATTCCCCATGCTAAACTACATTTTAGTATACCATTTGTTAATAGCCAAGTTGCTTGATCATCTTTTAAATAATGGATGGCAACACCTAAAATTATAATTATGTTTTTAGTGTCTGTTAACTATTTTTAGTAAATAATTCAAAAAAAGCATCAACATTTTGAAATTTTTATCATCATATAATAATATAGCAAGAAATAACAAGTAAAATATGGAAATAATAGTAAAGAAACTAAAAAATTTGAAATCATAACAGATTGACATCAAACAGTTGAACAGATAGCAGAGAAAGTTGGAATTTCATTTGGAAGTTGTCACGCAATCCTAACAAATAATCTGAACATGCACAGAGTATCTGACACATTGGTTCCCAAAATCTCATGAGGATCAGTATCAGTGACCTCATTAACACAGCTGACAAGGATCTGATGCTCCTGCAAAACATCATCACTGGAAATGAAACATAGTGTTTATGATCCTCAAACGAAATATCAATCATCCTGGTAGAAGTCTGCATCATCTCTGAAAAATTCCAATTGGACTGCTCAAAGGATGAAATAATGATGAAAATGTTGTTTTTTTTTTTTTTTTAATTTAAAAGTATAATTTATTACGAGTTTGTTCCACAAGGTGCTATGGTAAACAAGGAGCATTCACTATCTGCAAGTGTTGTAGCATTTCAGAAAAGCAATTTGTGTAAAGCATCCAGAACATTGACAGCTAAGGACTGGGTATTCCTTCTTGACAATATTCTGGTGTACTCTTTGTGTCTTGTTCAAAATTATCTGATTAAAATGGAATAACATTGCTTGACCTTTCATCTTGAAATTTTTATCTTTTCCAAAAGATGGAAGGCACTATTAAAGGGGTAACATTTCCATAATAAAGATGCTGTAAGAGCAGATATTGCAAAAGACAAAAATAAAAAAAAAAAAAAGGTTTAAACCAATATATTTAGCAATCCTGGAACTTTCTGCACATACTGTAGGTCTCAAGTATTATATGTTTGCTTTATCTAGGAGAGAGTGCAGTATTAAATCTACTTGAGATGAACACATTCAATGAACAAGTTTGATCACTGAAGATAAAAATGTTCAATGGAAGATTAAAAGTAGATGGTGTTCAGTGCTTACAAAGTTTCCTCTAGGATTTTTACTCCTGATGATGTGTAAAAGGCTTGAAAGTAATGTAGCAAACAGTCATAAGACCACCTAATAAAGCTGGAAATGGTAGATTTGTTGAGAATCAATAGATTAAGACATTATATAGGTAGTTATTAAAATGATTGTTTCAGTTAAAATAAAATTGTGAATTTTTGTGAGAAGAAAAACAACAAATATAGAAATAATGCTTTTATTTCAAGAAAGTGAAAATGTTATTTCACAAATTAATAAACTAGAAATATTTTTATAATGGTATTTATTTTATTTTTAAAACACAAAATTGCTGCTGCTGTTTTTTTTTTTAATATGGTTATTGTAATCACAGAATAATAATTTTCTAGAATGTATTCAGGAAGGTTGTTTTAATACAGATTTAACTAAAATTACATGAAAAGATTTTATTTACAGTTACGCATATTAATTTTATAATAAAATTTTTAGTAAATGCAAATTAAAATTATGACATATAAAATATATTTTATGTGAAAAAATTACCACTTCCAATTCCTGCGTGACGATATGTAATCACTTCTTCTGAACAGAATTCTTGATCCAATAACTGAACATTATTTGTAGTAAGGGACGGATCGGGTAATGGAAGCCATATATCAGCTAAACGTGTGCTTAATACTCCATTTTTCTCAAAAATCTGTAAAAGTTATATACATCATATAAAAAGTTAAGTTATTTTGTAATATAAATTTATAAGTTAACTAAATATTCATAAAAAATTATTATATTACCTCAATTTTTACATTTTGAGGCTTATGCACAATACACAACNACTAATAAAAATGCAAGACTGTGTATATATGTATTTTTATTATTACATATAAATAAACATAGTAAGAAAGTATATATTTTTTTATTTTTGGGGGTCTCCAGAATGAATTAATCAAATTTCCATAAAAACCTATGGTAAATCGATAATCGGTTAACGAACAATTTGGATAGCAAACAAAGTCTTGGAACGGATTATGTTCATCAACCGATCATCCACTGTATTAAAATTAAAATATCAATTTTTTTTCAGTTTTCAACTGTTATAAAATCATCAATTTTTAAAGCAGTATAACAAATAGATTTTTAGTATAAAATCAAGAGTATATCAACATTCAGAATATTTATTTGGATACTTTTTAAATCAGTATATTTTTTATATTTTTGTGCTTTTGACATTTTTATACCATATACAATGAAAGAAGGTAGCATAAAACACATTAAGATATTGACTAATAACTGCTGGAAATGTTGGTTAAAAATTAGAACAAAAAATATATCACAGTAATTTTTCTGTTTAAGAAAAGGATGCCATATTTTTTCTTGTCAAGAAGGACTTAAAATATAAAGATGATTATTTTCTCAAAATACTAAAAATGTAAAATCTTCCTTTATAAAAAATAATATAAAATAAAAACTATCTTTTCCAAAAATAATTTTGTAATATAAATTTATAAGTTAACTAAATATTCATAAAAAATTATTATATTACCTCAATTTTTACATTTTGAGGCTTATGCACAATACACAACTTAAATATTTGTCCCCAGGTTGCAGTAAATTCCTGCCCAAGAGATCTGATAAAACAAAACATATATATTGTATACAATAGACTCTTGATTATCTGAATGGAAAAAATGTTATTCCAGTTAATCTGGTACTATTTAAATCCTGTACCTAGTAAATGGAACAGGTAAATTTTCAAATAAATATGAATAGATAATGCATATAACTAATTCACATAATAATAAACATATAACTATTTCATTTGTAATAAACTGACACTTCAGCAAAGTTTATCATTCCTCTTTTCCTGGTTAGCTGCCTGCAAAACAGACAGCTATGATACTTTATGACTCATTTGTAGGCATTTTGGCATATGGATTAATGTGATCCTGAATAATTGAGAGTCTATTTGTATAAATGTAATGAGTTTAGAAATGAAGAATGTACTTTTCAATAAATTCATATTAATTTTGAATTTTGTATTTGTTCAAAGTTTTAAACATAACTTTATAAGAAAAGTAAATCAAAATTTATATAAAATAAGTTACATTTAATTAATTTCTTTTATTAAATTATATTTAAAACTTTAAATAAATAAGAATTATCAAATATGAATTTACTAAAAAGTACATTCCTAAGGTCATCAATTTAATAAATTATAAGGATTAAATTTTACAAAAGAATTTTAATTTTAATTTATTAGTTCATAATACAAATACAGTGGGTGATCAGTTAACGAACAAATCGGATAATAAACACTTTTGTGAAAGATTTTTATGTTCAGACAATGAACACCTCACAGAACACAAGAAGCAGCGACGTAAAATAATGAATACCGATTGGTCTTCCCTTGTCTTCAGGCAACAATTCGAAACTTTTTAGAGCATGGGAGACGTCAACATCAACGCTCAACCCTGTATATACTGATTGGATAGTATTCCTCCAAACTTTGAAACTCTCCCTTGTAATTCCAGCCTTTTATTTTTCTGACAGAAACAATTTTTTTTATAGTATTCACGAGTCTGTCGGGTGGGCACTTGTTAAGTTTTGTATTGGTTTTTATTTTTGAAAGGTGAGAGTGTAATAGCAAAGGTAGAGAGTAGGCAGATATCTGATGTTGCTAGGCAGTATGGCTTGAACAGGTCTACAGTAGGCCACAGTTCAATCTTATCTAAGAAAGATACTATATAATCAAGAAGAATCAAGCAGCTAAAGGAGTAACAAAAATCACATCTGAGAAATAAAGAACACTGAAGAGCTCATAATGAAACCAGTAACTGATCTGACAATAGAAGAATACCAAGAACTCTTGAATGAAAAACACCAAGAAACTTGGCGAGATATGTTTTCTTCTGAAAAAGAGGATTAATGCTGATATCTGCTATTAAACATCTTTTGAAGAAGTGGAATGATGCCAGAACAACGGTCTTAGAATGGCATCCAAACCAGGTTGAGGTTAATAGGCTTAGGGATCTCTACAATTACAATGCTATTAATTACTTCTGAAAAATCCTGAAGAAGAGAGAAAAGCAATCAACATTAGACAGATTCTTTAACCCCCACAAACGAAAAAAACATGACTAATAAAAATGCAAGACTGTGTATATATGTATTTTTATTATTACATATAAATAAACATAGTAAGAAAGTATATATTTTTTTATTTTTGGGGGTCTCCAGAATGAATTAATCAAATTTCCATAAAAACCTATGGTAAATCGATAATCGGTTAACGAACAATTTGGATAGCAAACAAAGTCTTGGAACGGATTATGTTCATCAACCGATCATCCACTGTATTAAAATTAAAATATCAATTTTTTTTCAGTTTTCAACTGTTATAAAATCATCAATTTTTAAAGCAGTATAACAAATAGATTTTTAGTATAAAATCAAGAGTATATCAACATTCAGAATATTTATTTGGATACTTTTTAAATCAGTATATTTTTTATATTTTTGTGCTTTTGACATTTTTATACCATATACAATGAAAGAAGGTAGCATAAAACACATTAAGATATTGACTAATAACTGCTGGAAATGTTGGTTAAAAATTAGAACAAAAAATATATCACAGTAATTTTTCTGTTTAAGAAAAGGATGCCATATTTTTTCTTGTCAAGAAGGACTTAAAATATAAAGATGATTATTTTCTCAAAATACTAAAAATGTAAAATCTTCCTTTATAAAAAATAATATAAAATAAAAACTATCTTTTCCAAAAATAATTTTGTAATATAAATTATGTAATTATTTTTTAAAAAATAATATGAAATAAGAAGAACTTCATTTAAAATAAATTCTGCATGAAAAGAATTTTAAATACTGTAACATTAAATGACACTGTCATTTTTTTCACACAAGTATCTATTTTGTGAAAGGAAAAACACTTTAAAATCCTAATAGATTATTATATCTTTACAAAAAAAATCTGCAAATATATTTAATTAAAAATCACGTTATAAAGTTTAGCTATTAAGAAAATTTTTAAAAATGTATTTAGTTATTTTCTATACCTTTCAGTAGTTTGACAAACTTGTTTATTATTATAAAATATCTTAAAATATATTTTTCTTTTTGAAACTTCATTTCTTCTTGCTTGTTCTAATCTGAAAGTGAATTAATATTTTAATGACTTATTTCGTTTCTATTTTTAAGAGCAAATCATTAATTAATTAACCAAATAAAATACTGCTTAAAATATCATTGTTTCCCATTCTTCACCCAAGCTTGCCAAATATTTAAAATTTTTTTAAAACTATACATTCTATTTTTAGAAAATCTTTAAACATATGAAATAATCAATACAGATATTAGTTAGTTAACTTATTAAATAATATTTTAAAATATTAGAGAACATAGAATTTATTCCAAGAGTGACATGTTCTTTTTATTGTAACTTTTGCAATATTAAAAAAGAAATATTATAGCATACTGAATAATACAACTCAAGATAAAAAAGAACATAACTTCCTGTAACAAAGAGGAGAAAAAATACTAACAAGTGTTAGTTACATGCCTACTCTTGCTGTATTATACAAAAATATTTTCAAAAATTTAAATGAATAAATGTTGTATATGTAATTCTTTAATATGTAGATACAAATATGTTTTAGAAATAAATAATCGATGTTAATATTTGTTACTTTTTGATATTAATAGTGAAAATTAATCATGCATGTTTATTTCTAAAAACCCTTTTTTTCATTGTTTAAAAACTTAAACAATGAAAATAGCTGACTCTATATTTTTATAATAAATTGCTTCTTACAAGATATACAATTACAAATAAATTCAGTATATTCAATAGTTGTAATAATGAAATAAATAATTTCATATGTCCATACTTATCTAAATAATACAGAATAAAATAAAATTGTATCTAGGAAATAAATACATTTGTTGTAAAAATATTATGAGTATGTTTAAATTATTCTAAATATTAATGCTATTATTTTCAATAATAATATTTATTTCTTTAGGAGAGGTTATATTTTTATAATTTGGTCTTAATAATATTAAAATATTTCAAAATAATGAAAAATTTAGTTTCAATAATACATATTTTATTCTAAACAAATATAATTTGAAAAAATAAATCATAAATATCTTAAGATGTTCACGTACTTTGAACAATTAGATGCTGATGTAACTATTCCACTATTAGTTATTTCTGGAAACAATTTAGGCTCACCTATACATTTAATAAAATATATATAAATTTTAATAAAATGTTGTAATTTATAAATTAGTTTCAATCAGAATTTTGAAAAAATAGACCTGGTTTTCTTCGTATTTCTAATGCATTTTGCGTAATTATTTCTAATGTCCTTTCTTCATCAAATTTACTCGGAGGTTGAGGTTTGGGCATATCTTCTAGAGAAATTATTTCTTCAGTTTTTGACGGTATTTCTGATTCTTCATTCTTGCTATCTGTAGCTAATTCTTCTTCTGTATTCTGTCTGCTTAACTTCTTTTTTAATTTCTTACTTTGAAGAGCTTGTTTCTATTATGAGTAAGAAATATAATAAAAATTAACTATCAAATATTAATATTTAGGTTCTTGTTTTAAGTTTTAATTCCAAAATAATGATAAGTGTAATAATCAAACTAAACTGATAATTTATTATTCACGAGAAGTTTTAGTGTAATAATGTAATAATCAAAAGCACTAATATTTTAAGGTTACCAAAACTATAACATTTTCAGTCTAACTTTATCATTATTCACCTTCTGTTTGTGTAGCTTCTTCCATTTTTCTAATTTTGTTTGATACTCTTTCAATTCTTGTTTGTAATTAATATTGAACATCAATTTCTCTTCTTCTAATTCTTCTTCAATTTCTTTATTCCACATTTTCTGATCATCATCTAAGTCAATATATTCTCTATGAAAATGGTATTTAATAATAATAAATTAGAAATAAATTTATTATAACTTTTATAATTAAAAAAAAAACTTAATATATTTTATTCTTACTCATGAATAGTCAGTTCTACAGGACTACTTGCATATTTTTGTGTTTCTCTCAGATTTTGTATTTCTTCCCAGAGACTTTTAATAGCAATTAACAGTCGTTTATTTTCCACATCTCTTGCGTCTCTTAACTTTCGAATCTGCCTATCAAAAATATTTTCAAACATGTTTTTAATAATTTCCTTAATTAAATGACATTAAATAATATAAATAAATAATAATTTTTAACGTTAAAAACTATTTCTTATATACATAATTACAATTCCTTAATTTCAAATTACACACTAATGTCAAATTATACAGAAGAATCCCATTTTAATGTTTTTCAACTTAACATTAACCCTGATTACACATTTAATTTTAATTGTTCTTGCCTCTCTTCCTCCATAAAAACAAAATTTAAACTTCAATTTAGTATTTTTCAGTTTTATTTTAAACTTTAATTTTAAGGAGCAAATTTTTTAACTACACACTTAGAAGTGATTTCAATTTAATGTACATAGGATAAAAGGGTGCTTTCTGTGTCTTAATTTTTCTTGCTGCACTATCATGCAACTTGCAAGCAAAAAAGAGACAGAATTAATGACTAATTTTGCATTACATGATACTATATAATGAATATCAATAATTGTAACTTTATTTTTAACCCTTTCTGCCCCATGGGCACCAAAAAGGTCTTTTTTATCAAACCCATTAAGTGTTTGGCCAGGCCCACAATAAGTGACCAGATGGTGTGGAATGGGACCTGACATATTCAGACAGATCAACATCTAAAAAATTACTGTTATTTTTTCAAATATCTGGATTTGATTCCATAAACCTACAGTGATAGACTGCCACCTTACTGTTAATCATCTGGCCATCAATAATTGATATTATTGCATTCTTATATTAATGTTTATAAATGTAATCAAACTATAATAAAATTGCACAATAAAAACTCTATTGCATATACAGTGGGTGATCGGTTAACGAACAGATCGGATAACGAACAAATCGGACAACGAACACTTTCGCGAAAGATTTTTATGATCGGACAACGAACATATGTTCGGATAACGAACACTTCACTGAACAAACACAAGAAGCAACGTAAAATAACGAATACCGATTGGTCTTCCTTTGTCTTCAGGCAACAATTCGAAACTTTTCGAAGCGCGGGAGACGTCGACATCGACGTTCTACCCAGTATATACTGATCGGATAGTATTCCCCCGAACTTTGAAACTCTCCCTTGTAATTCCAGCCTTTTGTATTTCTGACAGAAACAATTCTTTTACGTTTTCTTCTGAAAATGCGGATTTATGCCGATATCTGCTATTAAAGATCTTTTGAAGAAGTAGGAGGATGTCAGAACAACGGTCTTAAAATGGCATCCAAACCAAGTTGAGGTTAATAGGCCTAGGGATCTCTACAATTACAATGCTATTAATTACTTCTGAAAAATCATGAATAAGACAGAAAAGCAATTGACATTGGATAGATTCTTTAACCCCCACAAACAGAAAAAACATGACTAATAAAAATGCAAGACCGTGTATATATGTATTTTTATTATTACATATGAATAAACGTAGTAAAAAAGTATATACTTTTTTTATTTTTGGGGGTCTCCAGAACAAATTAATCAAATTCCCATAGAAACCTATGTTAAATCGATAATCGGTTAACAAACAATTCGGATAGCGAACAAAGTCTTGGAATGGATTATGTTCGTTAACCGATCACCCACTGTACTTTATTATTAACATTATTGTTGCTATCATGCCATTCATTTTCATAATCTGGTATAATATGAATTTAAAGATGTTACCATTAAATTTTTATATGAGAGAAATAACAGAAGAGATTATTATATAGAAATATTAATTTCATTCATCACAATTGATTTTTATTGTCAATTCCTAAAACTTCTATTCTAAGTTTATCTCAATTTTAGGCTGATATCTGCTGTTCCCTGGAAAAAGATTAAATAGGGTTTCTGCTGCATTTTCTTTCAGAATGCTTTGTTTTGAATAAAAATTTTTAAACACTTACAAATCCAACACAAATTTTTCTGTAAAATAATAAAATTTGAATTTTTTTTAAAAGATTTAAGTTTAAGAGACTTAAAATTATTAAATAAACATTATTATTTGAAATAATAATTCAAATAAATATTAGTATAAAATTAGTTTAATATATGATACAAGTATACAAAAATTTCATCAATGTAAGAATTTATAATGATATGCTAAGATAGTATTGATATTTAATTCAATAAAATATACAGAATATGTAAGATATAAATTATTTTGTTTTATATTATACAGCTTTTCATTCTATACTTATTTCAGCAATGCTAAATGATATTTTTATTCAAAAACAAAAATTTTTAATATAGAGACTTTCAATAAGTTAAACTTCCTAAACTCAAATTTTATTTTTGTCCTGACTTAAAACTCCTACAGATTCTGTGTATTCTATAAGTGAAAATATTGATATTATATTTTGCTAACTCAAAAATTTATAATCCAAAGACTCTATTTTATGCATAACAACAACACAAAGCCCAAACAGTATACATACTAAATCTCCAAACAATCGCCTAAATATCGGGCTATTATATGGCTACTTAAATGATTAGAAATAAAGCAATTTGTCATAATTCCATAATTTTATTCCAGAAGGTTCTAAATTTAATTTAATTATTTATTTAATTTTAATTATTAATTTACTTACGAGATGGCGCCTAACGCCTACCTCTTATGACAAATTGCTTTATTTCTAATAATTTAAGTAGCCATATAATAGCCCGATATTTAGGCGATCATTTGGAGATCTATTTTATGCTTAATTTTGTATGCTTTCTTTTACATTTTCAAAATGATGGACAATATTATCACAAAGTTAATCACCACTAGCACCATAATATTTTTTTGAAACAGAAAATATTGCATAAATGTAATGTTTTCTGCTGCAAAAAAAATTTTGTGATCTTTTGTGATTTTAAACTATATCTGCATATAATATCTACTATTTAAAAAAACAGTAATTATAGTGTTTTGTCATTTTATTATCCTTATATATTTATATAAATTATAGCAACTAGTTTAGAAAAATTTAGACTTATAATCATAATCCTTTTATTCCAATGATGTTCTATTGAATATTTAATGTAAGAAATTTTAGAAGAGTAATTATTTTTACTACATTTTTTTAAAACTATTCTAAATTTCAATTGTGTACTTATCGTAATATAAATTACAATTATAAATTGATTAGAGAAAAAGATTTTATACTTAATATCTTCTTGATAATGGCATAATCGTTCCTCTCTTTCTTCTGAAATTCTGTTATCTTCATCTTGTTTATTCATTTGTTTTAATTGGTTTACTGCAGATCTTAATGCTTGTAACTAAAAAAAATTACTCATATATTTATTATAGTAAATTAATTCATTTTTATAATAAATTGTTAAATATAAAAAATGACAAAACATATTAATTTAAACATAATAATTAAAAAACATTATAAGAATAATTTATAAAATATCAAAATACAAATAC